CCTGGCGAAATCTTCTTCAGACACTGATTTACCAAAGGTTGCCACACGCCAACTACAAAAGCCGTGCCGCGACGCCTACTATTGCCGAGACATCTTGAAGCACGACGCCCCACATTCATGTTAATGTGCCAAAGACATAAGAGATGAGGTACGGTCGGAAATACATTCTCTAGCGCCTTTATGAGCCCTAACTCTCGATCCGTCACGATGGCACTAGGTAGAGTCTGAGGGGGGAAAAGTCTCTTCAGCTTTTGCAACACCCATGTGTAATGGTCTTCATTTTCATGGCGCAAAAATGCGACTGCAACAGTAAAATTTTTCCCGACAGGAGTAACACCAACAATCTCCAACAAAGGCAATTTGTACTGATTTGTTTTGTAAGTACTGTCAAGTAGTAATACGTACGGAAACTTACTTAACAATTCCACAGATTGAGGGTGAGCCCACATCAAATCAGTAACTGCATGTGTAGTTTCATCAGTGCGGAACCACTTGTAATAGTTATGCTCCTCAAGCAACCCAATCAAATGTTGCATCACTGTACGGTCACCCCTAGATAGTCTTTTCAATTTCGCCTTCTGATTGTATATTTGTTTTGAATAAGCATCGAGGCCCAAACCATTTTGTCTCAAGTTAGCCAAAATCTTCTTGGGCGGCACATGACTTTGTGACAGATCACTAATGATCTTCGCCTCCTCCTGAGACAATGCACTCATCCCATGCCCGGACTTGTATATCGGAACATGATTATGCTTCCCGTATATTACTCTGACCTCCCATTTATCATCCCATCGTAGCTCTCCGACAATATAAAAACCACAGCCTATCTTTTTGCTACCGGTCCTTCTCGGGCGCGCTTCTGGATTAGTTGATGGACATTCTCGTTTTTCCCCGAATAGGTCACAAGTCAAAAAAATCTTTTTTTTAGGACTGCTTCTTTTTACTATTTTCACAAAAAGACCTCTTGCAACGAACCTCACCCAAACCACTACCTCATCCTTTGAGTCAAACAACTGAGTAGTGGTAAAATAATCGGTATGATCAACTTCAAATGTAGTCGTATCGTCCTGAAAAAAACATAAAAAAATTGATTTAAAAAAAAAAAAAAAAAAAAAAAGGTTCATATCCCTCATACCCCAAATCGAGGCCCGCCTCAGTTCAGTGCACGGCCATGATTCGCCTACTATTGGCATACAAACGCCCAAAATGGGTGTGTAACAGCCAACTGCACGCCCAACATGGGCGTGCACTGCACTGTCGGGCGCCCAAGTTGGGCTTTTGAATGTTTAGCCCAGTTTTTTCGATCGAAAAGACGGAATTTTTACCTCGCTGTGTTCGCTATCCCGATCTTCATTCGATAAATTCATTTATGTTCGTATATCACACCAATAAGAATGATTTGTGAAGAAATTGTCTTGAGAGCAATTTTTTTTAGAGAGAGAGAGAGAGAGTTTTTTTGAACGGTAAATAGCCTTTTTCAAACGGTAAAAAGCAAATCCCTTGTTTTTACACAATCTTTTTGTAAAAAAAAATATAATCATATTTTAATAACCAAGATAATAATTGGGTTACTGCTGATATCCACCCGTGGTCGCGTCGCACCCAACCACTTCTACCTCGTGAGTAATATAAAGATATCCGTTACAATCAAGAAGGCCCGGGTTAACGTTGACCACTCAAACGTCCAGCTGTGCACTCTAAGGCGGCATCAAAACTTAAATATTTTCTTTTTATATTTTATTAATTTTTAAATAAAATTAAAATTACGATCCACCGTCAAAACGCCGTTAAATAAATTTTAAGGAAAATCAAAATTTAAACTCTTTTATAGGCCTCCCAATGAATTGTGAATGAAATGAAAGGGCAAAATAACACACACACACGCGGAAAAACACAGCTCGAACCCGATGGGAGAAGAGCCACCCTTTCCACCGCCGCACCACCACCGCCTGTGTTAAGAGGGGATTGATATCGAAAATTTCCATACCGGAATACATGGCCGGAGCCACCGGAACCGCCTCTACGTCCACCTCTGGATCGCATATTCCGACGCAGAAGGAGATGAAGGGGCTGTTATTAGGGCGATACGAAATTGGGAAGCTCCTAGGGCACGGGACATTCGCCAAGGTTTATCACGCCAGGAACGTGAAAACCGGAGACAGCGTGGCGATTAAGGTGATCGACAAGGAGAAGATCCTGAAGGTGGGGCTAATCGCGCACATCAAGCGCGAGATCTCGATTCTGAGGAGGGTGCGCCACCCGAACATCGTGCAATTGTTCGAGGTTATGGCGACCAAGACTAAAATCTTCTTCGTAATGGAATACGTCAGGGGCGGCGAGCTGTTCAACAAGGTCGCCAAGGGCAGGCTCAAGGAGGAGGTCGCCAGAAAGTATTTCCAGCAGCTGATTTCCGCCGTGTCGTTCTGCCACGCGCGCGGCGTATACCACCGCGATTTGAAGCCGGAGAACATACTGCTCGACGAAGATGGGAACCTCAAAGTTTCCGATTTCGGCCTCAGTGCTATATCCGAGCAGATTAAGCAAGACGGCCTTTTCCACACCTTTTGCGGCACGCCGGCCTACGTGGCACCGGAGGTGTTGGCTCGGAAGGGATACGATGCGGCTAAGGTCGATATCTGGAGTTGTGGTGTGATACTGTTTGTTTTAATGGCAGGGTACTTGCCGTTTCACGATCAAAATGTCATGGCTATGTATAAGAAGATCTACAAAGGTGAATTCAGGTGCCCGAGGTGGTTTTCGCCTGAATTGAGCCGGTTATTGACGCGTTTGCTCGGCACAAATCCCGAAACGAGGATGACAATTCCGGAAATCATGGATAATAAATGGTTCAAGAAGGGGTTCAAGCATGTGAAATTCTACATCGAAGACGACAAACTGTGTAACATTAACGACGATGTGAATTACGACATCGGTTCTTTATCCGACCAGTCTTTGTCTGAATCCGATTCCGAATTGGAGACGAGGAGGAAGATCACTACTAGTCTTCCTCGGCCTGCTAGCTTGAACGCGTTCGATATTATCTCGTTTTCGCGTGGTTTTGATTTGTCGGGGTTGTTCGAGGAAGGAACAGATGGAGGGGCAAGATTCGTTTCAGGGGAACCGGTGTCGAATATAATTTCGAAGCTGGAAGAAATTGCCAAAGTTGTGAGCTTTACAGTGAGGAAAAAGGATTGCAGAGTAAGTCTTGAGGGATCGAGAAATGGTGTGAAGGGGCCGTTGACTATTGCAGCTGAGATATTCGAATTGACACCGTCTTTGAGAGTGGTTGAGGTGAAGAAGAAAGGAGGTGATAGAATAGAATACGAGGAATTTCGTGACCGTGAATTGAAGCCTGCCATGCAAAGTCTTATGATGGGAAACGTTGCCGGTTCTTCGTATTTGCCCTCGGACACCGAATAAAGAGATGAAAGAAAGAGGGAGAAGAGTACGCCCGTAATTTCCTACTTAACACTCGGTGGCTTCTTGATGATAATCGTTATGTTTTTCTTTTTCGTTTTTTTCTCTGTTTTTCTACCTCGTGTTCTGCTAGTTAGATGAATGTTAAATGAAAAATTATTCTTTTTTGTTAAATTACTCTTTGCTTTGAAGTTGATCCTATAAAACCTCGTGTTGCCTCCTTGATGGCCGTTTGCTCCCGAGGGTTTATAACTCGGTACGTTTTACCCTATTAGTCACAATTACTTGGTCCGAGGCTCCATTACCAGACGAGTAATCTGATTTTCGACTTCCTACCCTTTGTTGTCCTTTTATTGCATAATGAATAAGAGCAATTTTTCGTTGTAAATCTATATAATGCCATTAAAGTTCTGGATGATACGTGGTCCTTTATGCATTTACCTAGTTGTGTCTTAATTAGGACAACAACAAACCTAATATTGGTTATACCAAACTAAAAGTAAATAGTTCGCTACGAGCTTATTTTAGTCACTAGGATTATACTCAACGAACTTTTGTACTCCTCTTCAAAACCGCCCTTTGTTTTTTATTTATTATAAGGTGGATGAAGTCCTCTTCGATAATCCGGAGTTAGTTCTTGCAGTTGTATTATGTACATGTAGAGTTGGTTATGCTGCTGCTGTATTATGATCTGATTACACGACTATTTGGTTATCTTTGTTCAGTCGAGCGACAGCGAAAGTGCTATTAATAGCCTTAACTACTTGGAAGAGCTTGTTTTTGCATTTTTACGTTGGTCCCAAAAGATTAGATGAAGAAAACGACTTAACCGGCTCTTAACTGTGCAACCGTTTGGAAATATTTATGGGACTTTTTCGATGTCTATCCTCTTATGGCAAATCCCTTGTTGTGTATTCATGTGCCTTCTTCATCTGGTAATAACATTCTGCATGTTAGTTTCAGTTTCTTGCAATCTTGCTGTCATATTTTAGTTAGGTTTTAGGTGATTTCTTTTGGATAATGTCATGTTTGTTATAAGAGATGTGAGATGTCTGTATTTCTTGGGCAATGCATTGACAGTGTAACAAGTGGAGGACCACAAGAGAAATATGTACCACTACTTTTAGGATTTGTGACATCTAACTTTTAACATTTTATTATTTTATTTCAATTCTTGGGCAATAATATTAGTTGGAGAATAACTCAAATTTCAATTTATTAAGAGGTAATGCCAATTAAAAACATGAAAACCAGTACACACATAAAAAGACTACTCAGAAACATAAATAAAATTACTGATACATATAAGCTGGAACTATCTAGTTTCTCCCATGTTCAGAATCTTTCTTCCTCCCCCACTTCTGCATGCAGAGCTGAAGCTTCTTCCCCGCCGCCAGATAACTCACCCCCTGAGACGGCGTAAGTATCCTTATCACCTCCACCAACGTGTCCATCCTCAACTGATCAGCCGCCTCCAAAGTCGCCGCCATCGCACCGCCATGCTCCGTCAGCGCCTCCTCCACCGTGCCGCTAGACCCGCAGCTGCCGCCCTCGGATCCCACCGCAATCACCGCCAGTGGATCGTCCAAAACATCCTCCTGCAAGCCGGCCATCCTCGTCGAAATCCGCCTCTCTTCTGCGATCGTCTTTTTCTGCAACTCGTCCACCATTGACATCTGAGCACCCGAGAGCTCCCCCAAATTCACCGTATTTGAGCCGTTGAGAAACTCGGTGAGGTTTGACTCGGTCAGCATTCCACAGAGAGCGTAGATTAGTCGGATATACGAAGACGGCCTGCACCCTCCGATCCATAACACTGATCTTTCGAGCGTGGTGCACCATGTGGGTGCCATGTAGGGGGAAACATCCTCCTTGGCCATGACCCTTCGCATTTTTACGTAATTCTTGAAATTGGTCAAGATTCGGTCAATCAGTTGGGTGAGTTCGAAATCGGAGGTGGACCCGTTTGCATTGAGAGTGATGGCTCGGTTGAGTTCGGAGAGCTCGTGTTCTTGAAGGGCCATCCACTGCTGGTAGAAACATGTTTCTTTTGCTTCATCACTCGTTGCCATAGTTTTTTATTTTTTGGATAAATATGTAACTGAGGGCTTAAATGTGTCAATGGTTATTATCATCTACAAGTATATATAAATACAGAGGATGCGATATTCGACCGAAATCTATCCTCTGCATTCTGTTACCAAGTATTTGTCAGTATCTGAGTAGAAGACAACATCTTCAATCTTCAGCCTTTTTGGAGGAGATAACATCAAATTAGTGTCCTATTTTCGTAATATCGAAAACTAATAGTATAGTGTGAAACTCTTAGTAAAGATAAAAGGTTGCAAAGATGAACTTGTTTTTGTATTTGATCCCGTGAGCGGTGACAGAGGGTCCGTTTCCCCAGTTCTTCATTTCCCATGGGTTTGTCAATAACGGTGAAGGCTTTCTGTTCAATGTTGCCCTTCTTTTCGACGAATCAATTAACGAACAAGATAGGAATAGGGGTTTACGTGTACACTGATAGAATACGAGTCGAAATCATACTTTTTCAAGTTTGTTTGCATTTTTCTCGAGTTTTCAAATTTGGGATTGAGTTCTTCTGTAAGATTTTCTTTTTTCTTTTTATCTTTTAACCATGAACTACAAACATCAAATTAAAAAAAAAAATAAAAAGAAATCTCGAGTTCAAATCCAATAAAAATCAACACAAGAACGAGCAACGTAAGAGTCGATACGCTCAATATTAACAATTAATTGTTAATTTTCTCATGCTTTTAAGAACTGCAATTTTCTACAGTTAATTGTTGATTACAAGGAGCAATTAGACTTTTCAGGAAGTACACCAACAACAAAACAGATGGTCATGCATATATCATAACACAAGTTAATATATGTGTATTTACCTCAACTTAGAGAGAGAGAGATATAGAGAGAGATTAAGGATTATCAGTTTACATCTGATGCTAAAGAGATTAAAAAAATATATTTAATCCTCATTAAAACCGGAGTGCTTGCTAGCACCACGGCCATGCTTCTTCGCTTGTTTCTTATCAACCGCCTTCTTCTCAACCGGTTTCTTCTCCTTGAATTTTCCTTTGCTCCCTCCACCTTTACCGCCTTTACTACTTCCTTCTCCTACATCCGCACTCGCTCCTCCCTCTCGTTTGCCACCTGTCTTTTGCCTGTTCTTTCCAGCCACACCCTTCACCTTGTGCTCGTTTTTATGCCTCTCAGTCTTGCTCGTAGTGAAATGGTCGTCGGACGTAGGAGGTGGATCGTATACATCTGGGCTCCACGAAACACGGGCTTCCTTAACGGCCCTACCTTCTTTCTCGCGGCTCCCTTTAAAAGCAGAAACAAGATTTAAACTAGCCGTCGGTGTAGTGATCGGTTCGTGTATGACTGGTTCGTTCTTTAGATAACCCATTTGTGCCAAGAACGATTCTTCCGATAAACCACCTTCCTCCTCCTCGTCTTCTTCTTCTTCTTCCGATGAAATCTGGGGATCCTTTATTAATTTTGTTTCTGGTTCCGATTTTCCGTACCCCATTTGAGCCAACAAATCTTCATCTGAGAAATCATCTTCTTCTTCCCCCTCCTCCTCCTCCTCCTCATCTGATAAATCAACAGAATATTCCGGCACATCATTGATTTTTACCTTACCGGAGAAGCTAGTGCCTAATTTATCTATAGAATTACTTTTACGTATAGCTTCTGATTTTTTCCCCTTCGAGAGAGAGTTGTCGTCCATCGATTATCAACAGGAAGTATAAATCTGGGATCAGCCTACAAGATCAATAACAGAGACCTATTAACCATAATCCAAAATTTTCTCGATAATACTATAAAAACGAACGTGGCTGTATAACTTGCAAGAACACCATAAACCCTAGTTAACCATGGCATTGCGAGGAAGAAAGTACATCATGTAAAATTTAAACTAGAATCAAAAAATATTATTCGAACAATACATTTGCGAATCTAAATCTTGAAACAGAAAAATCAAGGCCATGCGAATCTACCGACACAGTCCATTTTCAAAATAAAAATAAAAAGAGGTGATTCTATCCGAAGAACTCAGAACATCTTCATCGTTCAAACAATTCCATGCGAAAATCATGAGAAACGATAACTATCAAAACATGCATACTTACATCCCAAAATTCTACAAAAAAAAAAAAAAAAAGAATTATCGCAATGTTATCAGCGTACTTACGTTAAATCACCAACTTTGTGAAGCTGAAGTCGTTTGATCGAGAGATAGGATAGCACAAACCCAGATCACAGATTTCAAAAACCCTAGATTACAAACTACTGCCCCCAAAATGTACGTAATTTTGACTGGAGTCAAGGCCTGCGTTTCTGTCTTTCTGAATATCCAATAGGAGCTGATGGGCCTTTTGGACCAAAATATTTGTTTCAGCGGGCTGGGCTATTTTTTATTTATTTATTTATCTATATATTAGTCCACGTCACTATTGAGGCCCAGCAGAATTCTAATTCGAGTATCTGAAATGATTTACGCGGCAACAAAATTACGAATGTCGTTCACAATAGTATTCTCTTTCTCTCTCTAAAAACCCTCAAATCCACCAAAATCTGAAAATCCCCAAAAGCCCCAAAATTCACAAAAATCCTCAACCTCTCTCATAAATCCTCCCAAATCTGAAAATCTCGTCAATTTGAAATGTAATTAATCATCTAAATTAGTTATATTTATTGAATTTGTGGTTAATCATGTGAAAATCCCATGAAAATCGCGATTTGGGGCTGTTTTTAGTGTTGGGTTTTCGAATTTTCCACGCCCAAAATGGGCGTGGGAAAGCAGTTTCCACGCCTGGTTTAGGCGTGGAAACTGCTTTCCCACGCTCATTTTGGGCGTGGAAAAAAAAATAACTTCGGGCATTCGGTCCAGACGCGGGTTCTGGACCGGTCGTCCGGTTCATTTTTTTTTTGCCCAGTATAACCAAATTGAATGAGTATAATTAAATAAGTATTAGTTAACAAACTCGCAGTAGCCTAGTGGGTCAGGCGTTTCGTCTATTTCACAATAGACCCATGTTTGAGTCTTGCTAGCAACGCGTATTTGTTTATTTTAGCCTAGTTGGTTAGGCAAGTTAGAAACTCAGCAGATGGAGCTCGTGCTCGAGTCCTTAAAGTAGCACAAATATATGATTTTTTTTTTTTGTTTAAACTCATTCAGCACGCGAGCCCAAACCGGGCGCGGATAGCTATGATGGGCGCCCAAATCGGGCGCCGAAAGTACTTTTCCGCGCTCAAACCGGGCGTGAATCGAGCTGTTTCGCGCCCAGTTTAGTCGTGAAACCTATTTTTCGGCGTCCAAATTGGTAGTGGGTCGCGTTTTCGCGATTTAAAGAACAAAACGAACAAATTTCACCTCATTGGATTCCGTATCTTGATCCTCATTCGATGCACTCATTTTTTTTTTGCAAATGACTACAATAACATGAGTTTTGGAATGATTTCTAATAAAAAAGCTAAAATTGTAGAGAGAGAGAGAGAAAGAAAGATAGAGAGGGGATTTTTTAAAACGACATTCGTAATTTTGCTACCGCAAATAGCACCTCCCTTCGAGTATTTGATTCATATTAAGAAGCGTAAATTCTACTTTCTCCCCTTGTACTTTATCTCAATATTACTTTACCCCTCCTACTCTTGATTAACATCGATTTGACCCCTTCTCCTTGAGAAATTGTCTCAATGTTGCCATGGCCGTTAGTTTTCATACATTTGACCTTAACACCGTTTGATCAAATTCTGAAAATTACAAAAAAAAAAAAAAAACAACCACCCCTCTTAATTTAACTATTTAAAAAAAAAATTATGGCTCACCGTGGAGTACTATGCTTTCTCGTTGTCTTGATTTATTTATTATTTTTTTTAGTAATTATTTAAACTGGGAGGGGTGACATTTTTGTAATTTCAGAGCTTAAACCAAACGGTGTTAAGGTCAAATATCTGACAACTAACAGCGAGGGCCACATTAAGACAAATTTTTAAATGCAGGGTCGAGAGTAGAAAGAGGTAAAGTGATACCAAGCCAAAGTATAAGGGGGGAAAGTGGAATTTACATTTTATTTTTTGGCAATTAACATTCTGAAATAGGGTGGAAATTGGAACTCATGAACTTCAGAATTCCGCAGATTTTGATAAGAATATTTCCAATTTTGGAACATTATCTTTATTTTTCGAAATTCGTAAGTTCCAATTTTCAAAATTTCCGCTTTTCATTTTGAACGCAATGGAATATATAATAGCTTTTGATTTTCGATTAAATTTTAATTTTCAAATTCCGAAAATTAAAATTTCAATTACATCCATGCTAATATTATGCGTTTTATATTATAGACGAGTAAAAAAAAATCATTTCAATTTCTGGAAATCCGATTTTTACGGTATTTTTAGAACATAATTGGATATAAAACAATAAAGTTTAAGGACATGTAACAAACACACTTGTTGGCACTAATAGAGAAATAAGATTTCAGATTTCTGCCCGCATGGGTATAGCTCAACTAGTTTAGGAGGTGGTAAGTTGGTACAAGGTCTTATGATAGTGTGGGAATTCAACTCCAATGAGGGGGTTGGTTTCTTGTGGGCACCAGGTCCGAGTCCGCTATCTTAACAGTCCGTTTAGTAACCATGATTTACATTCATCCATCAAATACTTGTTGGGCCAAGGAATAGAATGGGGGCGAAGAATTTCGCCTTTTGGTACAAGAGAAATAAGAGTTCATAAAAGAAAAAATAGAATAGATAGAAATTAATCAATGACAGTAGAATAATGAATGCAATTGAAAACTGGTGCATATTATATTTCCTAGGTAGTTCAGCCTGACCCGGCCGAGTAATGCTTGAAGGGGCAAGACTAACATAAAAGCAAGTGGATCAAAAGTGAGTAGTCCCGATTCAAATGTATCCCAACCGACCATTAATTTATGTTTGTTAGTTAGTTTTTATCAAAGTTTCAGAAACTTTAATGCATATTCAATAAATTAAAATAAAAACCTTAAATGCGTAGTAGTTAGTACGTATTCAGACAGGAGCAAAGAAGTGGTATTGTACCTAGTACATGCATGCACCTAGTTTATAATTAAGGTATATATTTATATATTATATATGCAGAAACAGGCACCTGAAAAGGATGGTGAAGATTGTCCACGTGGGAACCACATTGGCTCTCCTCGTGACACGTCACCACTAACCCTCGCCCCTCCCACACCTACTAAATAACGCCTCTTCGTCTCCATCAAAGGTACAACGGATCTTAGCCACGCATATTCTCTCTCTGTACAACTACATACAGCGTAACCGCCCTTCATCACGTGAATATTATCATAGACTGTAAATAAATAAATTTTCCCCAGTTTATTTTATTTAATTAGAAAAAAGAAAAATTGCTACAAGGCTTCATTAATAATCATATGTATGCATGAATTGAAAGCTGTGATCGATAGCAGCTCATGAACGAAAATTCCTTCGTGGAACCACCGTCCATGCAACGTGGCATTACCCGTAGCCACACACGTGGCAGCTCTCTTCTTCTAACAACACAACCTAAAATACATACACTCAACACCTTTACACCCTTCCTCTGCTACACGCAGGTATACCTTCACTGTATCTCCCTATATATATATATTACCCCATATGTACTGTGTATATATATACTCTTAAAAGTGTTCAAGTTATAACTCCAATATTAATTCTCTCTCTAGCTTTGAAATATATATACTTTTTTTTTTTTATTACAAAAAAGAAAAATGAAAAGCCAAATTGAAGAAGAGTTCTCAGATTTCTACGAGAAATGGGTGGTTCAGCTTGAGGAGCATCTTCGTCTTCTTCTAGTGGTGTCGAAAGAGAAGCCACAAGAAGCTGTGTGCGAGGCGGTGGTTACTAAACTCACCGCCCACCACAAGGAGTACTACACCGTCAAATGGGCTTCCGCCGCCGACGATGTCTTGGCCTTCTTCACCCCTCTTTGGCTCACCGCCCTCGAAAACGCCTATCTTTGGGTCACCGGCTGGAAGCCTTCCATGGCTTTCCGGCTGGTTGAGTCTCTGAAGAAGGCCGACGCCGGACATTCCGCCGGCGTAGGGGCGAGCCTGGCGGGGATGACGGAGGAGCAGGTGAAAAGGATCGAGGGTTTGAGGGTGAGGATGAAGGCGGAGGAGGAGAAGGTGGAGAGGGAGATGGAGAGGATGCAGGTGGCGATGGCCGACAGGAAGATGGTGGAGCTGGCGAGGCTGGAGAGGGTGGCGAGGAAGAAGGGGGACGCGGCGGCGGTGGGGCAGGTTGACGAGATGGTGAACGCGGCGGTGAAAGGGTTGCTGTGTGGGCTTGAGAAGGTGATGAAGATGGCGGATTGCGTGAGGCTCAAGACTTTGAAAGGTGTGCTGGATGTGCTGAACCCCATGCAGAGCGTTGATTTCTTGGCTGCTAATACCATGCTGCAAATTCAGATGAAAAAATGGGGAGAAATTAGAGATAAACGCTGTCGTATCGATAATCAGGAAAATTGTCTCCTCATTAGTAATCATTAATAATGACAATTATTTTAATAACTATATTATTATATTAAGATAGGTTTATAGAAAGAAAGAATATACTCCTCTAGTTCCTTTGCTATGTAATATTATTATAGCTCATGCGTGTTTCTCTGCAATTTTAAGCTTTCAATAATACAGTGAATTAATTCCGGTTTTTACTATATTTTTTAAATAGTATATATATTAATTTTTTTGAATTTTTGAATTTTTTTTCTTATTTCTAAATATAGTTTATATGTATGGAAATATTCGTTAATTCGTTGTTTCTCAGTTAATTATGCATGCAGGAATACATGTCAGACGTCATTTGGATATAAGCTAATCAATTGATGAGAGAGTGACGTCTTTGTGCTTAAAATAAAACATGAATAGATTTTAAGGGATTTGCCACGTCATCTTTTCACAAAACACCACTCCTCCCAGAATTTTTAATCATATTTTTTTTTTTTTAACATGGTCGTGAGATGATTGCAAGTTGATAAGAGGAGAAGAAGAAGAATGAAGAAGAAGAAATTAAAAGGCTTATAATTTCAAAATAAAATCTAACATCTTATTAAAAAAAGAAAAAAAGAAAAAACAAAACAGTAACTTTTGGACAGGTAATCATCAGTTTTCTATAAATAAAAAAAAAAGGATTTCCTAGTCTGCATTAAGCCATACATTATCTTCCCTGAGGTCGAAGGCACATTGCTACAATTGCGATCATCCCTTCTCTAATCCACTTTGATTTTGATTTTGATTTGATCCCACGCAACAAAAAAATATTTCACATTGTTGTACCTTCATCACTTCGTGCTCTCTAGTATTGTACTTCAACCTTTCAATATTCTTATCATTCAGCTTTTTCACATATATATATAATTCAAAGAATAAAATAATATAGTTACAAATCTTGATTTAGAGAGGTTTGTAATGAATTGAAGGGTGGATATGAACTGACTTACATTGCAATTTGCACGCGCGCTAGAATCGATCAAGCGGCCTCTGCCGATAATATCTCGAGTTCGGCCCACCAAAGTGGAGATAGCCTCGGGGTTGCTGCTTCGGCTGATATATCAATGGCTTGTCTCAATTTCGGAATCACTTCTTTCATCGGAGGTCTTTTCCTCCAATCTTCTTCGATGCAACTCTGTATTACGTCGCACACAGTTTCTAGCTCGTTTTCCTTAAAAGACGCTAAACTTGGATCGATCAAGTTTTTTATGGTCGCCTTATCGTTCAAGTACTGAGCAGCCTGACAATGATTCAATACATTCAACACATTCTGAGTAATTAATAACAGTAAATTAATAGATAGATTATATTTACCCAGTTTACTAGTTTGCCTTGCCCTTCTACGCAAGCGAGTTTTCCGGAAATTATTTCGATCAAAAGGATTCCAAAACTGCGAACATTTGTTTCCAAAGGCACATCAGAATGCTCCGAGTCGGTTTCGGAAGGATTCTTCGATTTGGCTATGAGTTCGGCCCAGAAAGATACATCCGCAATCTGTAAACGATAATTTTTTTCTCTGTTAAACCAATGTTTAATAATTAATACTATTGATAAGAATTCATTTAGAGAACTAAAGCTTACTTTAGCAGCATAATCGTCGGTCAAGAATATGTCTTTCGAAGTCAAGTTGACATGTGCGATTGGTGGAGTGAGATCGTGCATGTACTGAAGGCAATAAGCAGTCCCCATGATTATCCTCATCCTTGCGCTCCAGTCAAGGTGTTCGAGTTCTTTAACTGAAATAAACATACAGAAGAAATATTCAATCTTGTTACAATTATAGAAAAAACGAAAAGAAATGGCATTATGCATCGAACTTATGTCACCACCAAAACTTACTGTGCAAATGCTCAAAGAGAGAGCCATTTGGAGCGTACTCAAAAACCATCATTCTAGTGAAAGGTACATCTTCCGAGCAGTAGCCGATAAGATTAACGTAATTCTTGTGATTCACTCGAGACAAGCTATCAATCTACAGTTGTAGCAAAAGAAAAAAGAATGCTTTTAGGATAAGAGTTTTGTAAGTGATAAACCTTGCAATATGGGATACAGAATCATCTAACCTTCTTCCTGAATGTTAATTCCGCGCGTTTTGACCATTCATTTAAAAAACCTATAGCAGTTGAAACAACAGCAATCTCGACTCCACTTGATAGAGTTCCCTTGTATAACGTGGCCACACCATCATGGGTATATATAATATTACTGAAATCCTCACATGCAGTTTCTAGCTCACCTCTGTTCAACTTAGGGACGCCTACAAATAAAGGAAATACATGAACAAACAAAATTTAGAAAGAAAAAAAAAATTCCAACTAAATTGAACTACATCAAATCTGTCACAATTTTTTGGAAAGCATACCTGTAATAAAAGCTTTCTGCAACTGTCCACTCAATCCAGTCTTCCAAGGACCAATTGTTTTAGCTGCTCTACACCTGAAGATGGCAAATATAACTGCCAAAACAATGAGCAAGAAAACTGCAGCCAATATTCCAATTATAAGCTTCAGCGAATTCACAGAATTTCCAGCAGCAGATGACTGATTATCGTTTGATCGACTCCCACGAGGCATATTCTCTTCTCCTGAAGTCGGTGAGGGTATAGGCAAAGGAGAAAGTTTCTTCGCATTCGGTATAGCAGGAAATGAGCCACTACTTCTGCTTGGAAGAGAAACGAAAGCTCCCGTCGGAGGTGGGACCGGAATGTTGGGAGGAACAGCAACAAGATTACTACTGGTTTGTTCGTCTAGGATGCGGCGTACATTAGTTACGTGCATGTCTACGTTCCGAATCACACCTGTATCCGGTGAATCTAGCAAATGCAAGAGAAAAGTCATATATCCATGGGGCATCATCGGAGTAAGAAATAAATAATATAAACAAAGAACCCTCGGTCACCTGTTAGATTGCTGCAGTCATTATCACCATGGTTGTGTGACATGTCGCTTGGAAACTTCAACCTTCAAGGAAATGTGATAATATATATTCTTAGTCACCTGTTAGCATGAAGATGATAAATAGAACAATGTGATTGAAAAAAGTATATATTATTGCTTACTGTGCCAGCAGTTTAAGGTAATGAATTATGCTCCGTTCTGCTTTCCTCGATTGTCCCTGCCAGATGCTGCTCAAGGCATCATGCATATATATTATTAAAAAAAACAAAAAAAAAAAGGAAAATAGCAGACACTTGTAAATGAATAGAAAAGAAACCCAGTGTTGAAAGAATCAAGAAGAAAGTTTCCAATATATTCATTGGAAAAACAATTGAATATTCATAACGGATGAGATTTTAAGTATTACCAGTGGCCAAATTTTCTATTTACACAACCGATTTCAGCAGGAGCAGCACTTGTAGAGATATTATCGAACTGCAAATCAGTTAGCATACAAAGCTTCTCAATCTCCACCGGAATCCTTCCTTCGAATCTATTGCTACGAAGCAATCTAGAAAAGAAGTATATGTATCAGCTGAGGTAATAATATTGCATCAAGAAACATGAACATCGGAAGTTTATACTTACAAGCGTTTTAGGGAATGCAACTCTCCTAATTCTGAAGGAACTGTTCCACTCAAGCTATTATCCCTCAAATCCAGCACTTCTAGTGCTCTAAGCTGTCCAAATTGTGGAGGTATCGTGCCGAAAAGGTGGTTTTTCGATAGGTCACTTGTGAGACAATAAGAAAACATTAATCAAGGTTATTGATAAAAACGACATTTACTGAAAGATGGAAACCAATAAATTTAAGACGACGAAGCCATGTGATTTTTAACATTGAAAAGGAAACAGAAACCATCGAGAGTACTTCATAAATACCAGATAACTAGTGCACCGAAACAAAAGTTGACACTCACAGAAATTTCAAATGGGCAAGGTTTCCAAGCTCTGGCGCTAGTACTCCCTCCAAATAAAGTCCACTAAGATTTCTGTACAAGACATAGAAGTTTACGAATTAGGGAATATACCGATTATCCATCAACGAAAAATCTCATAAATCGGGCGGATAATATTATCTGTGTATAATCGGACTTACAGCATAACCACTTGACCGTCCAGACATTCAACTCCTGACCACATGCAAGGGTCGCAATCATCTGCATTCCAATTTGATAAAGCTCCTGATGGATCAAATTCCACCTTTGCTCGGAAATGAAGCAATGCCGTTCCTGCATTCCAATTTTTTTTTTTTTATTAATCAAGTCAACTGCATCACACCAGATACTTCAAAACTTTTTTTTCTTTTTTTTTCGTTTGTCCTTTTTTACCTTCAGAATTGAGCGAAGAGCAACCATGAACTCCCACAACAAGAATCAAAAGCGTGAAACAAGAGGTCCATCTACCCCCCATTGTGTGCAGAACCATTTGTCGAAGAGGAGCAAAGGTTGAACAGTTTCTTCCAACACAGCCAGCAGGAATCTATAAAGAGGCGCCACATAAAAAATATCCAGCTGTATAGTTGCACGATAACCCTCCGAGCAATTTAGAATTACTCGGACGTAACACAACGACGCCAACAATTCCTTCACTTCACCTAATCAATGATAACTGTACATACACCAAATCACTACTAAGCCACTAGGCACAAACTACTTAGCAAGCAAAAGTTAACATATCAGCCCCCTTTAAACTATTAGCAAAATTGGGGTCTCTCATCTTCAACCAGCTTTTAGTTTGGCTATAACACCACGCTTTTCACCAACAACTGCATAACCCGGCTGAATTAACTATCTTGAGATTTCGATTTTTATCTGAAAATACATGCAAATAAAAAAAAAACATTATAATAACAGAAAACAACATTGGCTATTAAAATCGTAAAAAAAAACATCCTAAAAGAATAACATTAGGAATAAGCTATCAACCAGAAAAGAAAAGGTGCATGGAATGTGAAAAAAAAAAAAAAAAAAACTCACCAGAGGACAAAAAAAAATTGGGGAGGTCAATTTGCAATGCAATGCCCTACAATCTGCGGCGTAATTCCGGGGTAGAAATAATGTATTTAGCAATCGATCCTTTTCTCGAGATCCTGTTTACGAGAGAAAATGCAGAGGGTGGGGAAAAGGTTGACGATGATGATGGGTGGGAAAAATTGTGGTTCGGAAACAGAAAATTGTAGCAGAGAAGAATGTAGATGAATTACGATTGAAGAGACGAAGGAGAAATTGTGCGCGGATTTGCTTGATCGACTTCTTCCCCTTTCAGGATAGGATGATCTCAGAGATGAAAACTCTCCTCGACCATCTCTCTGAAAGAGGGGGAATGGGGGTGGGGGGAAGAAACTCTCTCTCTCTCTCTCCTCTCTCTCTTCTCTCTCTCTTGTTTTTTGTCTCTCTAAAAAAAGAAGTTTGTTCTGTTCCACTCCCACCCCCCCTACTACCCCCCGACGCCACCCCACAAAATTCTGTTCTTTTTTATTTTATTTTTAGTAATTTTCCCTCATTATTACGTCTAATTTTATGTGATTAGAAAGGTAGCATTTGCATTTTGTTTTTTAATTTTTTTAAATCGTTCGATTAAGTGGCCGTGGAAGAGCGGTGTAAGCCGGTAAAACGGTTAATCGCCGGCGAAGCTTTCTGAATTGGTGGTGGTGCAGGGCCCGGAGTAATAGTACGTGCTTTTTGCATCCGAGTTTGACTGGGTCCCACTTTTTCTCCCCTTGTTTCAGATTTCTTGGCCCCACATTAATCATAATTAATTTATCCAAAAATTTCTTAATTTTTTGGTGGATAGAATAAGCGTTCGTGTGGATATAATTTGTATAATTCCGGCCCAATTTACACCAAATGTAGCTAATGGGCCCAATAGTGGGCTTTATAATAGTTCTTGTATGCAAATATATAAAAAACCAGGTAAATATACACTATTTGTACAATAACTTGCAAACCATACGAGAGACGTAAATTATATTAGGCTAATTATGTATGACAAATTCGAACTAACGACCGCTGGCAATTGGATTGGGACATGGGTCAGATTGACAAAATGCTCATTTGATCCAACAATGTATACATAAACATATTGTGTGATTGAATGTTACGTACTAAGGTGTTTGTCAATAAAATGTTGTTACTATATAATCATTAGGAGTAGATTAATTAGAATAAACCTAAATTGTCATACTAGTGTAGATTATTTAATATTACAATGCACCATTGGCACAATTGGATAAATATCACTTTAATTATTTATAAATATAATATTACCCAGGGTAGGGGACCGACGAAGTGGTTTATCTTAGCAATAAACTAAATTAAAGGTGTCCACATCTATAATTAAATGGCCTCCTCGATATTATTGATTAATTAATTAGAGGTAATATACACTAATTAATCTTGACTAGTAAAACAATTATTTTTTTCAAATTGACTCATCGTAGGCAACGTGGTTAGTAATTACGAGTCTAAATTGACATGAGAAGCACAATTATAAGACCGGTAATTACTTTTCTGAAGGGAAAAAAAAAAGTATATATATATATATATATATATATATATATATATATATATATATATATATATATATATATATATATATATATATATATATTAGTACGTATTAGTGCTAGGTTGAATGTCGACATCCATGAAAATTACATGTTATGTAAGAATAAATTCTTTTGAAATGAAAGATTCCGATGATCTAATGTCAACTCTTCATGCAAACGATAAAACAAGAAAACTTACATTTATTTAAGTTTGTAGGGTTTCGAAATCCCATTTCTTTTGTGTTTAATAACTTTTATAGTAAAAGAATATAATATAATTCATCTATTAAAAAAATTAAAAAAACAATGATATAATGCTCTCTGCATGTCTGTCTTCGAACATCCAAAATCCATTTAATTTGTATACTAATTTACATGTGTGTGTGTGTATGTGTGTGTGTGAGAGAGAGAGAGAGAGAGAGAGAGAGAGAGTAGGCAGATATAAGAATTCAAGCAGACAGTTGTGTTTGTCTCCTAGTGTCACCAGCTTCTTTGAATACTTGGTGCAATTCTTTAAAATTAAATTAAAATTCTAACTAGTCAACATACTGTGAATACAATAATAAACCAATTAAGATTTAATAATATATATATTTAATCGTTGTAATGACGTAGTGATGAGTATGCATGGCCAACAAGGCATATTATCAACTACGTACTCTGTGATTATATTGTAACCAAAATGCTTGCTTGTATTTGTATATATTACGTTTATACAAAAGTCAATATGTATGTGTGTGTACTTAATTAAAAGTCGGTTAAAAATTGTCAGATTTTTACATACATGCAAGAAACGGTCGATTCGATGTTTGCCCAATTATATTGATTATTTTGAACACAAAAATTCCCACCAAAATTGACCAAACTATTTATTACTGTTACATTCTCATCTATATTCCATAGTTACACGCAACAATTTTGAAGTTTCAATTCATTATATATATATATATATATATATATATATATATATATATATATATATATATATATATATATATATATATATATATATATATATATATATATAATTAAATAATTATATTAGGACATTAGGATTTGGGACCATGTACGTACGCTAATCATAAAAGGTTTTGAAATTGAGGAGCAAATTAATTAATTAATTAATTTATAGGTGGATGAACCGTAAATTAAAACATGGAAATCATGTCATATATATATGAATATATGGCAATTGAGAAGCCACGTTTGATGTATATTATCCAAATTAATTAAACCGATAATCACAGTTTTAATGAACAATTAAGTGCTCCTAGCTAGGCTGCCCGATGTTAATTCGGTTATAAGTACTCATTTTCATTAAATATATATATACCAGATTAAAAATTTGGAACTAATTCAGAAAATGATTCGTAATCGAACTAATTAAGCCTGAAACAATCAATCTCGAATTTAGTATCACGCTTTTCAGACTAATCGTTAGTTTGATCTCCAATCTCTTACGAAAATGCTGGTCCACTTGGCAAGAGAAGAGTGGAAGCTGATCAATATAATTACGTGCGAGCTGCAGGTTACTTTGAGTCTGATTTACAAGACTAATTAATCCAAGAATTGTTAAGAGAATATAATCATGCAATTTTAGGACACTAATTAATTAATTAGCTCATCGTTGGTTGATATTCTTTTGTTCTCATGCATTATATTATCGGACTTGAAAAATATAGATCATTTGTTATTAATTAATAGTCGTCAATTAGCCACGTTAAAACAAAAAAAATAATTTATTTAATTATAATATATATATTGTCTCATGTGTATAGAATAATAATGTTGACCCTAGTGTAAAATCGTAAGAAAAAAGTAAATATGGGAACAGAGAAAAATAATTGAAGTCATACAAAATTAATATATGGAGAAAGAAAGTCTTTGGTTTAGGTAGGATAATATATATAAGCTGCATGTTGATTGGAATCCTTTTTCAACATATGATTAATTTCTTCCCAATGTATATATAATTATATATACCATTAACATAATCACGAGAGAGAGAGAGAGAGAGAGAGAGAGAGAGAGAGAGAGAGAGAGAGAGAGAGAGAGTGACAGGTGTCAAAAGGAAAGGATTTTATACAGGAGGAGAAAAAGAGGAGATCGATAACTTTGGGGAAGTCACATGATACTCAACAGCCAATGGGACCACACTCATCTGTATCTATAATTCAAAGAATTATTGCATATTATTATACAAGTGGGATTGCCCATCGTTGAATTTTCTTTTTCTTTATTTTTATTTATTAATATTATTTAAAAATTCCTCATTAAGAAACAACAACCCCCTGCATGAAAGTCTAGGTGAAAAAAAAGAAATATGGAGTCCTGACGAATAGTCGCCTTAAAATTAAATTCCATGGTTGAATGAATCGTAAAACCCTCAACATCCCAAAATAAATATATAAAAAAGAACTATTCTTCTTTCTTCTTCGCTTCTCCACCCCCGCCCCCCACCCGGAATATTATCGATCTCTTTCCTGTGATCGATCTTCATGATTCATCGTCTCGTCGATATTTCATCTTGTTAATCTATTAGGAACCTTCATCCTTTATAAAATGAACGGTTGATCGACGGAGGAAGGTGAGAAACGTCGATCTCGCGGTGCACCTATATTTAGAAGACAGTGCGTTAGGGTGTGCCACTTAATTATCTTTATATATATATATATATATAGGTGTGCGAAAACTTTCAAGGTACACCACCGTCTCTCTCTCTCTCTCTCTCTCTCTCTCTCTCTCTTAGGGGGTATATATATATATATATATATGATGCTGCAGGGCCATGGGGCTCTCTCTGTGGTAATTTTTCGAAATATTTTGCAATTCATCAGAGGAATATATATATATATATATATATATATATATATATATATATATATATATATATATATATATATATATATATATAACTTTTATCTGAATATATATGAGAAGCTTTGTCGATAAAATACCAACAGCAATCTTCCATTTTATTTTATTTTTCTTAACAAACCCTAGAGATATGGTGTAATAGAAGTTCTAACTATGATCCACTATCCTAATTTAATTTGGTTGTCATAGTATTAACTAATTAATTACTGATACATGTAATTGGTTAATTAACAATTAAGAGACCTTTTAAATACTGAGAATTCATGCGTCCATCCGTTTCTTTTAATTTTAATTTCTTCTATTATTTGTTTATTTTCTGCAATTATATATATATATTTTCTGATTTAAAAAATTGAAGTCCCCAAAAAATGAATAAACTCTCTTTCCAATAACGTAATTAGCAAGCTAACCAATCTGGGCTGCATTCCACCAATCACAGTTTTGCAATCATGAAAAAACTTTAATTTAATTAATTAGTAGCAGCATTTAATTCAATCCAGCTAACTCTCTTTCCCAAAATAAATAATTGTAATTAAATAATATGCCTTTGTTTCTCATTTGTGTTTTAAATTCTTATCTAATTCCTATTTATTTTGCAGGTTGAGAACATTTAAAACTAATGATCATCATTTTGTACAGCCATATATATGGGTGAAAATATTGATCAAAAGACGATGAATAATATTAGTGGAGGAGAGATAAATATTGATGAAAACATATTATCAGCTAATTCCTCGGGTAGTGGTAATAGTTCTTCGATTGATTTGAACGAAGAAGCTAGCAGCATTAATTTAATTGATGAACAAAAGAAATTAGACGAGAAATATTCGGCAGATATTAATCTCATGAGAGAAGAAGAGAAGATGGAGATGAAGAAGAAGAAGAGTGCGGTTCGTAATTATGTTCGATCGAAAATGCCGAGGCTTAGGTGGACTCCGGATCTCCATCTCTCGTTCGTTCATGCTATCGAGAGACTCGGTGGTCAAGAAAGTAAGTTTTCATATAAAACATTATATTAATATATCTCAATATAAATTAATTAATGAAACTAACGAGTATAATTCTTCGTTTATTTGTCGAATTCATGCTCATTATATATATTTAATATTTAATATTTCCCAGGAGCCACTCCAAAAGCAGTGCTTCAATTGATGAATGTGAGAGGACTTGGTATCTCTCATGTCAAAAGTCACCTACAGGTTGCACAATTATTTTAATAAATTGTAATTTAATTAGCACTAGTTTTGTATTTAAACATATCTTTGCTGATTAATTATATATATTCTTTATTAATTAATTAATGGTAATATGATCAGATGTATAGGAGTAAGAAACTCGACGAATCTGGACGAGGTACGATGTTTCTGATAACCTGTTTAATTTTCTCCTTTTAAAATTATGTACCATGCTCATTCAATCAATTGATATATACATATAACTGGAATATATATATATATATATATATATATATATATATATATATATATATATATATATATATATATATGAATATGTTTCATTAATAATTAATCCATGTGATAACAGTAATAAGGCAAGTGAATAGGCACCATTACATTCAAGGGAGAAACTACCAGCTATCTGCAACTACATTCAACAAATATTGCAGCCCTAATATTCATCAGTTGAAGTTGGAGAATGGCGGCATTGTTTTTGCAAGGAATTCGATTAATACTCAGGCCGATACCAAGAATATTCTTTTTCACCAAAACCCTAAATCCGATCGTATTTCCTATGAGATCAAACCCCTATCTTCCAGGTTAATTATCACAAGTTTTATCATCACTAAATATATAAAATAATGATCATGATCTAATTATTACTCTCTAATCTTTTTTTTTTGTTGTTGTTGGTAAATATATAATACATAGATATCAGAATCAGTGGTCTTCATATAATCATCATCGAACGAGCTCTCTCTCACAAAATTTACGACAACAACCACGTTGGAATGTTTCAATTGACAGGGATAATCATCGATATCATCAACAGAACTCTAAGCCGCCATTCGATCTTGATGATCATCCTTTGAGGCTTATTAATCAGGTAATTTACTTCAAGAAATTGATTAGCAGAGATGATTAACGAGTTAATTATTAATGGGGTCGCGTTTAACGAACAGATGAATGACGACGAGGAGAAGAAAACTACTACTAGTAAAGAACGATTTATTTCTGCGGATTTGCAGCTGAGCCTGAGCCTCGGGTTAAGCATTAATAAGAACGATCAAAATGGTTGCAGTTATAATAAAGGCGGGAAGGAGTACTACAAAGATATTAACACAAAGCTTTCTCTTGCTTTAGCTACTCCCCATTCATCATCAACTGCAATATGATATATCCATATATATATATATATATATTATAATTTAATTAAGTATATATATATTTTCGGAGAAAAGGCCGAGTACTCGAAATCTGACTGTGTATATATGCTTGATCAGAGCATATATAGGAGTGAGATCTTGCAAGTACTTGATCTTTTAGCAATAGAAAGACACTATTAGAATATGCATGCATGCATGCATGAGCAGTTCTTGTTGTACTATTAATTTATGTATTAATTACTTATGTTGCCAATATTTTTGTATTTCATGGCATAAATAAATAAATATATATATACTCAAAGATTAACAAGAAGCGTGTTTGCATATGTAATCAATAGGGTGCAAGTTGGAACGGAATTTTCAATTTCCGTCAGTTCTGATTCGAAAAGTTCCGATTTTGGAACAACTTTTTTCATTCCGACTATCGAAATTCTGGTTTCCGAATTTTTCCGATTTTTTATTTTTAATTGGAATTGGAATTATATAAAATAAATATGGTATTTCCGATTTCCAATCCGATTTATTTCCGAAATTAATTCCGAAAAATTCCGATTTTTTTCCGAAAAATACACCTATAAGTAATATATATTATATAATAGTTATTTTCCGAAAAATACACATATAAATTTTGTTTTAGAATTTTGACATAATAAATTGTTGTTAGAAGGTTTATTGGATATTATGTTGTGTTTATTTTTATTTTTATTTTTGAACTAAAATTTAGTAGTTATTAGTTTTACTTTTATCGACGTGGATGTTCTTATTTTTGAAAAAATATGAACATTTTTAGAAATTCGGCTAAGTTTTGACATTTTAAAGTTTATGTGATTTCTGATTTTTTCCAAATTTCCGAAATTTCCGGCCTTTTGAAATTGGAATGAATTTTTGGATTTCGAAAATTTTGGAATTGGAATTGATTTTGTACTTCAGAAATTTGTTGGAAATTTTTCGGAAAAACTAATTTCGATCCGATCCATCCAACTTTCACCCTATGTAACGTAACAAAGATACCAAATTGGAATTGAAAATTTAAACAGACGACATAAGAAAATTCAATATCTAAATGTAAAGTATAAATATGTATTTATGCATGTGGTGCAGGATATTAATTAAATTGATTAAACAAGAAGGAAAAAAAAGAAAATTCTGGTATAGTATGTACTAGTGTACAAGTATATGGTTGGGAATATAATTGGCAATGAATTGGAATCTTTAACAAAGAGTAGTTCGATCTTTACCTGCACACATGCCTAACAAATTAATGCAATCATATATATATGCATATATTTCACGAAACAGAATATTATATGGTGGAGGGTTATTTATAAATGATTATTACCTTCACCCTAATAATAAATAACAATAATAATTGAGCCTTCATTATGATTTGGACTGGACCAATTAAAATAATCACCTAAAATCCAAACGTCGTCGTTACGGTGATTCTTGAATACATCTCTTAAATGTTGACAATTACACCTCATATTCTTCTTTTCCATTATTTAAAATTTTAAACATGATTATACAATGGGATCGGAGTCTAGATTTGTATTTTCATAACAAAATATCTCTATTTAAAAAAAAAAAAAAAAATCAGATGGAACATTTAGTTACAAAATTATTGAAAATCGGTATATGCACTTGCATAATCAGAATTTTAAGTTCGAGGTGGTCAAATAAATTAAAAAATATTATAGTAGAGCTGTTGATGCTATTATATGTGAATTTTTTTTTAAATATATTTCTATATAAAATAAAAGGAATTTGAGAGATGTGTAGGAGGCCATGGCCCCCCATATTTTTTACTATAGAGACATTTTTGTAGACTTTTATATTTTAACCCTACATGTTGACTATGGAGCACTGAATAAATGGGACGGCATAGACTAGTGCTCCTTTTCTTTTATTTTTTTTATAATTATATATTGACAAATGTGACACCAAGTCGGGGCCCTCCATCACCATAACAATTCATCTATCCTAAAAATCTATTTTTTTTTTTTTAAATATTATAAAATTATGCATCATTTTGGTTGTAATTCTCGAAAATGATTTAAAAAATATATATTAAGTCAAATTATTAAAAAAAAAAAAAAGGGGACGGCCCTTTTGATTTCTAAATTGGTTACTTCTAATATTTTATTTGGGCCAAATGTCAAAATCCACACGGGCCGGCCCATATGTCTATTCCAATTTTGAGATTATAAGGATAGCAATTGACCCGACCCGCTCAACCCAGCCCAAAAGAACCATACCCGAATTGGGTCCAACAAACAACAAACTATTGTACAGTCAGCACTCTAAGGTGGTGTTTGCAAAAGCTTTTAAAAATAGATTATGAGTTTTTTTTCTGCATATAATTTGTATTTGGGTGTTTGCAAAATAAACTTTTATTTTTGCTTCTCTTAAAATAAGCTGCTTTAAGCTATAATTTTAAAAGCACTCATGTACCTGTTTAATCTATTTTAGGTGGTGTTTGCAAATGATTATTTAAAAGCAGAAGTTAGTGATTGTGATTTAAGTTAGTTTTAAATGCTTATTTCTAAAAGTTGGGGGTGTTTGTGAAAATTTCGGAAAATGAACTAAAATTAAAAAAACAGGGTTATGGGTACTTTTAAAAAAATAGCTTAAAACAGATTATTTTAAGAGAAGCAAAAGCAAGAATTGATTTTGCAAACACCTAAAAACAGATTATGAGCAAAAAAAACCGCATAATCACTTTCAAAAAGCATTTGCAAACCAATATTGCAAACACTCCTAACTTTTAGAAATAATCGCTTAATCCCAACTTAACTCACAATCACTAACTTTTGTTTTTAAATAAGCTTTTGCAAACACCACCTAAGCATCAAGAACGAACAATTCATTCAAGCAACTTCCATTCATATGCATCTTCTGTAATCATTCATACATATCTTTAAAACTCCAAAAAAATGCCAGAGTTCACTCTAATTACAACACCAAAAACAAAATAAAAACTGTATCTTTGATGTTCAAAATATCATCAATTTGTATCATATTTCCTCCGGAATCGAAAACCAAAAAAACCCCGTAAAATTAGTGAAGCTGTATTTTCTTGCAAAAGAATAGATCATCAGTTATCGTTAACTACGATTTGCTTTGTCGGTGGGTTACGTGCGGTACAAGCTCCTGCCAAATTTTGAATCACAAAACAATAAAGATCAGAACAAAAAATACGAGAAAAATAATTTTAGCAAAGATCAGAAAAAAAAAAAAACCGACCTGCGAATAACGAACATGATCGTGCCTTATGTTAGTAGTTTTAACAATCGTCTCCCATTTCGCATCAGCTAATTTCTGGCCCTGCTTCTTCGACTGAAGATGAAAGTTTCTTCTCGAATGAGCAAACGGATTCCCCAACGAAATCGAAGGCAGCGTTCGCCAGAGCCAAGATTCCGAAGGCGATTTCGGTAACGGTGGGGCCAACGGCGAAGATGGCTTCAGAAGAGGATCTAACTCCAATTTCTCCTCTTCTTCTTTTTCAACGCTTCGATTCAACTCGACATTCGGATTTCGTTTCTTCCCTTCGTCCAATGCAGGGGTTTCTTGATCTTTTCTATTTACAGATTCTACGTACACCTTCTTCTCCACTACTTCCCCCGTTTTCTCGCTCGTCTGATTCCTAGACACATCATGCAATGCCTTGAACAATTTACGAGACGAAGCGATTTTATTGGCATTGAAATCCTCCACTCCTTTAGGTACACCGAGAAATCCAACCCCTTCTCTAAACGGAGATTTCGGAGACTCATTTCTGTAAGGAGATATGCTTCTCAATTGAGACGCCCCCGATTTATTATTCAAATCGTTACTCATCTTATTCTCCATTCTCGGCAGATCGCGCGACAACAATCCCGAGTGAAATCTCCTCTGTTGAGGTACATGGCAAGCATTCTACATAGGTTTTCAATACGTCAACAATTAATTAAAAAAAAAACGATACATAATTATATATACTAAAAAATCGTACCTTGTCGAGGGGTCCACTATGTGCATTTCTAGTCAATCTTTTGACTTCAAGAGTCTTCGGAGGTGTTGGTGCACGGGATTTCGATTTCATACCTGGGAGTGGATTCAGTAGGCACATAGAATTCTTGACGCAAAAACGGGGGATAATTCCCCAAGCTTTCCCCGTTTTTTTAACGGGAGTATTACTCTTAAAATTCGGAATTTCGTCGTCGCTCTCCACGTAATCTACATACTCGTTGTAATATTGCTTTGGCGAAGGCTTTATTTCACCAGAAACCGCCTTTCTAAACAACGGCTTCTTCGGCTGCTCGACAAGCACTTTCTGCTGCTTCTTCGGTGTCTCCAAAACAGCTGCCTTAGCAGCTGGCAAGAACCTATTCATCATGAAATCCCTCGTATTCGTATCAATGCAGAAGTTTCCGGAAGGTTTCGGCCCGGAAATGCTATTACAGCCGCTGATTCCACTGACGCTGTAATTCCAAGACCAAGATCCCGTCACCGAAAGTGTGTCGAGTGCATCCGAATATGCGGCATCTTCATCTTGTTCCTCTTGGCTCTCGGATTCAGATTCGTCTTTGCATTTCAAACTGTCGTTTAGTTTCTCGATAAGAGTGGCATGATCGGCGAACGAAAACGCTTCCACTTGGGCCCGGTAGATGTTGCCCTGATCGTTGGATCGTTCACCAGAGGCGAACCTGGTGGGGCCCGATAAACGAGGTGGCAGCCTAGGCGTAATGGAAGGTTCTTGCGGAGTTTGCGGTTGGCTTTCGGCTTCGTTTTTGGGTCTGCCCGGGATTTGTTCCCAGTGAAAAGGGACGGCAGCTGGTTTGCAGACATCCTCGTATTCCCAATCGGAAGTTTTCGATGGAAGAGATTGTTGTCTTGCAGGCGGTGGCGGCTTCTCTAGAACCTTCCATTTGACTAGCTCGGCAGAGCACGAGGGCGATGAATATCGTCTTGCCGACAAGAGCGGTGCGTTTAAATCTAGTTGTTGCTGCCTTCTCTCCATTGGACAGTCTGTTACTACATAACCAACAACAACAACAACTTTTAAATAAAAACACACACAAATAAACCTAGGAATTAAGTGCAATAAAAATTCAATTTTTGTTTTTCTGTTAAGGCAATCAAGACTCTTAAAAATTAGTAGATAAAAGCATTTACTTTTCCTACCTGTATTCATCAACCAAGAAAAATCAAGAATGCCTGTTCCCAGATTCAAGAAAATCTATGCAGAAAAGGAAATAAAATCTGCCTTCTTGATTTTCTTGAAAAAACAATTAGGGCCAAGAAACACACAGCATTTAGATAATAATTACAGATTCCCACAACTAATTAGTAAATTGTAAATTAAACACAAAACAAGATCATAAACAGCTGAAGAAAACACAGAATAAAGAAAATTAATCAGGCATTTGGTTTGTAGGATACCTGAGAAATAAAGAAAGAAAGAGTAATGCAGTGGACTACTGGGATTCGGAGCTCTTCCCGCGAATTGTGGCTAAAGAAGAGGAGAAAAAAGAGAGAGAAAGAGAAATGTAGAGAGAGAAAGTGATGTGAGAGAGAGAGGAGTGGGGGTTTGCTTGTGCTTTTTAGGCGATGAGTAATTAGTGTAGGAGTGGCGCTGATTGCTGACTGAATGTATTTGTGTGGATTATCGTAACGTGGTGGGGGCAATTATTCCAAAAAAATTAAAATAAATAATAAAAAGTAAGTGAAGTGAAGGGGGCCGATTCTTGATTTTAATAATTAGGTTTTTTTTTTTAATCTCCGCCCCCCAATTGTTAGGTTTTTTGTTTTGTCGGAAGAAACAAATGTCACGGGACATACCGTTGGATTATAACGACAGTTATAAAAAAAAGGAACCCAACCGACTTTAATTCGCGCCCATTATTTTTGGTTTTCTTATTTAATGGGACCAAACTTGGGCTCACCCACTCCTCCTTTCGGTTTTTTGTCAAATTTTACATGAGTGGATTTCTTTTTTTATTTAATTATTCTTTTTTTTTTCCTAAAAGATTTTACTGTGTAAATGCATTAAATTGGCCGCTCTAATATGTGAAATTGGTTAGAAAATAATTGGCTGCTTTTAAGGAAAAAAATGTTTATAATTATGTGCATTTAATATTAGTGGATGGATTAGAAAAATATATATTTATTTGGTAAATCGACGCACATGTAATGGAAAGTCCAATTTAAAGACCATTATATTTCAAAATCTTCTAAAAAGGCCCATAAAGAAAGTAAACTACATTGTCCTATATCGATTTTCTCGGAAATTTCACGTTCAGCTTCACCTATGTAAATTTAATATCGTCGCACATCGGTTAATTGTGCAAATGTATATATGTTGTTACCCTGATTCTCGTTCGATTAAATTGATTTTTTTATTTTTTTTATGACCATTTCAATGAATATTCAATTTCTTAAATTTTGAACAATTTGTTTGGAAATTAAATTCCCCATACACTCATAAAACATAATTTTTGGCCAAAAAATGAAAAAAGAAAAAAAAAGAAAAAAAATGAGAAAGTGTCTTGTTTGTCTTTTTTGTTATCTATTATTATTTTACCTTAATGCCTAAAATAAAGTATGTTCTAATAATCTAAAGAAAGGAGAATAAAGTAATTTCGTTACCTTAATGTGAGATTTTGAGTGTCCATAAAACATATAGCCGAAGAAGACTTTTACTTGTCTGCCATTGTTGACTAATGACTATCAATCAAGATAATTAATTTTATTATTCTTTATTTTTAATTTTAATGCTTGCGGAAAAATATTATGATGGGGCCCACACTGACACAGTATTCATGTGTTATTCCACAAGATACTGACAATTATGTCGTATTCAAGATTTCATTAACCCAAAATCTACGGAACATTTGTAGTGTGTTATGATTGCATACTTAAAGTTGATGAAAAACAAACCGTAATTTATATTCTCTATTATTTATAATTATATTTACAAAAAATATACAAAAAGCCATTTAATAATGGCTTAATTCCACTTTGCACCCTTGAAATATACCATTTTGGCACTTTGCACCCTCGAAAAATAATAATAGCACTTTGCACCCTCAAAACACAATAAATCATTCACAATGCACCCTCAATTGAATAATAAAGGCAATTTTATTTTTCATTGGTGTTTTTCTTTTTAGGGTACAAAATAAAAAAAAATTGTTGTTTTCTTGAACCTAAAACCTAATTTCGAGCGGACAAAGTGCGAAAAAATAAAAATTACACCGGATTATTTAAAAAAACTACATTATCTTACAAAAGAAAAAAAAAATATTTTATCACTAAATTATTCGATTGTGGATCTTTTATGTCACTGTTTGTATAATATTAGGTGAAAATATTTGGAAGAAAAAAATAATTTTCAGATAACTTGATAACGTAATAGCTGAATGATTTTTTTTCGTAAAATATTTTATTTTGATAAAACAATATAATTTTTAAATATGTTGTGGAATGTATTTTTATTTTTGAACTTTATAGTTTTAAAATGATTGATGAATAAAAAAAATATTTGACATTTGGCATCCTAAAAAATATCACTACAAATATTAAATTTATATTTTTTAGCTTTAAAAAATCATTTGGGGTGCATTATGCATGATTTATTGTATTTCGAGGGTGCAAAGTGCTATTAATTTATTTCGAGGGTGCAAAGTGCTAAAATGGTATATTTCAAGGGTGCAAAGTGAAATTAAGCCTTTAATAATACATATATTAATTTTCCACACCTATCAAATCAAACTTGACTTGATATAAAAACCCCTTAGTTAAAGGTCGTTTTAGTCAATAACTATGACTAAGTCTAACTGCACCACTATTTCACCCCTTCAATTTAATGTTGTTGTAATAAACTCTCGACTACTCTGTATATTGGCAATATAAAATTAGCAAAAAAAAATTAAATAATCTAATAAAACTCAATTGTATTATACTATTATATGACCTTCGAAAATTCAATAAAAAACATGCTAAAAAGGAAAGATAATATAATATTTGCGAATCAACCCGATAAGTTAGTAAGAATACCAAAAATCAAACAAAATTTTATTATTTAGTTAATCATGACTAATCTTCCCAACAAAACGAGATCTTACTTTTTTTATTTTTGTGGTTGGTGAGGGTTTACTCAGTCGAATTTTTTTGTTCTGCAAGTTGGATGATAAAATCCATTTTGGGCCCTCTTATGGCCCATTTAACTGATGGGCTACAAACATGATTAATTATCACAGGCTTAAAAATTAGGCTGAGCAATTAAACAATTCAAGAAATCTGGCCCACGAATACTTCTGCATATATATATATATATATATATATATATATATATATATATATTATATATAATTTGCACAAATTTGTTTTGTTTTTTTGGAGAGTAATTTGCACAAAATTAGATAGGAAGAAATTGATAATTCTTTGGATAATAACACAAACAAACGTATATCTATGAAAATTATAATTTCCATTACAAGTGAAAAAGTCCTGAAAGACAAAAACCAACCCACACGCGCGGCGGAAAACAGATAAAATAAAAATAAAATAAAAAATAAAATAAAATAAATGGAAAACCGTCAAAGAAAAGTATTACTTTGTGAAATTAATTATACACAGCACGCCATTTTCTCAGCGATCTTGGCCAGTGATTTAAGATTGCAGCCGATTATCATATCAGCAAACAAGCAAGTATCCTCCCTACAGCTGTCCGCCGGAATATCCACCACATAAGATTCCACCACCACCGTCCCCACGCCGCCGTCGTCTTCTTCGTGCAAACTAGTGGTGGACTGGTAATTCACGAGCTTGTGATCGCCGCCGACGATACTGAACACCATGACGTGCAGATCATCGTCGAGCCGGTCAAGCCTCTCGGTGCTGCTCTCGCCCGGCAAGCCGGAGACGACCCTCAGCTCCCTAACACTGCCGGCGCCGCCGTAGCCGGAGATGAGGTGGCAGCTCCTTATGAACTGTTTGTAGGCTTGTGGGTTGTCGAATTGTCTCACCATGGACCAGATCACAGGGAGCGGCGCGTGTATCATCTGACTCACTTTCGAGCCGCACTGCCTGCCGGTGAGCGCAGGGTTGTGGAGCGGAGACTCCATTTTCGCCGCCGTCTGGTTTATTTTTTACGAATTACGACATATATGCATCTGATCATATATAAATTTCAATAGGCCCAAGTGGGCTGATAATAAATCTAAAAATGCTATGTTGGAACTTGGAAACTAATTATAATTTTGAATTATCAACCACAATAAAATACAGATCAGAATACGACAAAGATTAATTAATCTGGGGAGGTGCTTGTTTAAATGACGTGGCGGTGTATTTTACCAGTTACTACGTACACGTGGATGCCACGTGTGTCAAACTTATTGGAGTAATTACCTGTTGCACTGCCTCGGGATATAGAAGCAATATAACTACATGCAGCCGAAGTTATTGACGTTTAAAATAGATTTTGACGACTTTTGATTTTGAGTTAATCACTTCGTAAAAAGTGAATCCCACTTCATTCCAAATTACGTATATATGTATACATTTTTTTTTCTTTCTAATAAACAAAAATAAAAAAAAAAATTTAAAAAAGGACCCTGGAGCGGAAACGAGTTAATTAAGTCGGCGGCGGCTGGTGAACGCAAGTTCGAACTCAAATTCGAGCCCGTTGGACAGTTCGCGAGCCGACTCACAAGCTTCTTATTTTTTTATTAATTATTTTATTGATCTCATGCAATTGAGTTCGAGTTCAAGTCAGAAAATTTCAACTCGATCGAGTACAAATAGTCGAGCTCGTTCACACCCCTAGCTTAAACTACATTTTCTTTTCCGTATGGAAAAAAAATAAGATAAAGAAGGGAAAAAAAACGCTAAAAAGCAATAACATTATACTAATCATGAACTTAATTAACTAATTAACCCTTGGCAGCAGCAGCCAACTTCTCAGTAAGATTAGCTAAAGAGGTGAGATTAAACCCTAAAACAGTATCAACAAAAAGGCGCGTCTCTTCTTCACTATTCCCCTCCGGCACATCCACCACGTACGACTCGATAACCACCGTTCCTCCGCCGCCGCCGTGGTCCTCGTGCACGGTGGTTGTCGACTGATAGTTATCCAGCCGCTGGTCCCCTTCAATCATGGTGTAAATCATGACATGCATATCGTCGTCGGACCGGTCCAATCTCTCCCGGCTCAGCCTCCCAGGCAAACCGGAGACGAGTTCCACCTCCCTCACGCTCCCAACGCCGCCGCTGCCAACCACCATGGTGCAATCCCGGACGAAATACTTGTACCCCTCGGGGTGGTCGAAACGACGCAGTATGGACCAGACTAGAGGGAGCGGTGCGTTGACCGTTTTGACCATGGATGAAGAGCACTGATTTGATTTGGGATTGTGTGTATGGTGAAGAGATATCATTGTCTCCGTCATCGTAGGATTGATTATATCTGGTGTTTGCTTTTGATTTTAATTATCCAATTTAATTTATATATAGTGATCCATGAAATTTGGATTCTTCTGCAAATTGGCATTTGTTTTTTTTTTTTTTTTTGGTTCATTTTATTTCATAAAGCTAAATCACTGTTCATGAGCTCACAAATATTTGTCCCCTTATGTTTTTCTTTATTTATTCTTCACCCTTGGGGATAAGATTAAAGGGTACTCCTCAAATTTAGTGGAATCATAGAGATTATATACAATATTATTACTTTTGTACCTGTTTTATCTCATTCGAACTCTACATTTTGAAGCAAGATGATTATAATATGTGTTTTTTGGCTTTGTATATATCAGTTTGTGGTGCATCAGAAACTGTATTTTTACTCAAAACGAGTACAAACTAGAGCACATTCCACGAAATCTAGACGATTATGTTGAATTTGACACCATAAAAGTGGAGATGTAAGGAAAAAAACATAGTTGAGGGGGTAGATGTAATTATCCAAACAAGAGGGTTTATTTGTAAATTGACCATACCTCAGGGGAGTGTTTGTAATTTACCCTAAGATTAAATTACAAAATACTTATTTTGTTTCGGTAATTACAATCATCCCCATCAACTATGATATTCTTACACGTCTATTATTACGGTGTCAAATTTAGTGAAATCTTTTAGATTATGTATAAAATATTGCAGTTTGTATCCGTTTTATTCCATTCCGGCTCCACATTCTGAAACAAGAAATCATAAAATGTGTCTTTTGACTAATAAATATCAGATTGTGGTGCATTAGAAACTATATTTTTTGCATTACACGAGTACAAATTAGAGAACATTAAACAAAATGTAGAAGAATTTGTTGAATTTTACCTATGAAGATGAACGCGTAAAACAATTCATAGTTGAGGGTGGTTGGAATTATTCAAATATAAAGGAGTTTTTCGTAAATTAACAATATCTCCAGGTGACCGTAAGTTAACCTTATCATTTTTTACGGTAGAGCCAGGAAAAAATATTATTTTGTTTTTTTCTTCTACCATAATCTAATTTAATTGTTTGTAAATATTGTTTTAAGCTATAATCTTAATATTATATATATATATATTTTAGGATGTATATATTAAGAGATAATGAATGTGAAATTTACGATTTGGGCCTTGGTAGTAGTGAAGCCCATGGTATTGAATTGAAACTAAACAATCCAAAGTGACTGCCTCATAAAGTGACCCAATTAACATGTATTTTCAGGAATTGCATTCAGGGGTTCGGAATGAGTACCTTATAACTTTCAATTTGGATTTTTCTGCCAATTGGGAAAATTGGGATAATATTTTGATTCAAAATTTGGACTAGTTACACATACTTTTTACGTGTAGGGCCACCGAATCACAAATGATACCAAAATCAGAAATCAGAAATTTATTATACTTCAAAACTCAATCCTCGAACGTACTAAAATAGGATTATATACTAATGGTGTCTTTTGCTAAATTTATAAGTTGTTAAAAAATGCTTATAAAATGTTGAACTTTATAAATTTTAATCATATTATCTATTTTAGTAGTTATATATATACAGTGGCGGATCCAGCTATGGTCCAGGTTGTGCAGTTGCACATCCTTAGTTTTAGACAAATAGTACTGTTGTACATAAGTTGAGAAAAAAGATTGTTGGTTGAGGTGATAAAGATGTTTTTCATCCATTGTTAGGTCCCGGGATAAAAATCCTGAATTCGCCACTATATAATTAAAATGAAAGAAATTGCATGTAATTAAAATGAAAGAAATAAAATATAGTCTAAATTTCGTTTTTTAGCAAAATGAACTGCAAAATCAATATGTTGGGGGTGTGAAATTCAGATGTTGTTTATATGATCACGTGAAGATCACGAGGAGTGTCTAACAGCATTGTACCTGTGACCCAACTCGATGTTCTATTGAAGAGACGGACACGGTTTTGGTAATAAATTATGATTTTCTTTTTCTCTTGATCTTTTTTTTTTTTGTTTGTTTGTGTCTGTGTTGTAAAATAATTATTGATTTCACTTCTATTCAAATAAGCTGTTTTCTAACTTTTAAGTCGCAATTTTAAGGGCAATTGAGGCAATTTATTAATAAATGCTGAAAATCAAAGTTTATTTGCTTATCAGTTAATTTTTTAAGAGGGTGTTTGGTTAAGCTTATAAGATGTTATAGAGCTTATAAGCTCTTCCAAAGTGTTTGGTAATTTTTTTTTTAAAAAAACTTAATTTTTTTAAAAATAAGCTCTTGGAGAGCTAATAAGATCTTTTTATAAAGTGTACATTTACCCCATATTTTTATTTAAGATCTTATAATGAGTAAAAATAGGAAATAAACTCATTATCCAAACACTCTAAAAATTAATCCTAAAAATAGGATGTAACAACTTATCAACTCTTAAAACATCTTATCAGACGTTACAGTTTATCAGCTGTTTAAAATAAGCTTAGCCAAACACCCTCTAAAAGTGATTTTGATTAACACAAAATCACTTAAAAAATGGAAAAAAATTAGTTTTGGTCCTATATGTTGGCCTATTTAGGTAGTTAGTCCTCTAAATTGTCATGTTTCAGTTTTACATGAAATAACTTTGCAAATATAGTATTTTTAATCACATTTTACATGATTTTCGACAAATAAACTTGACGCATTTTATTTACATGGACGCCTCTTGGAAATTGTTAAATTCGACCTCTAATCTACCATTGGTAGAATATTAATTATATGAGACGACACATTTATATATAAACCAAATTAGATGAGCATTTATAATTTTCAACTGTCAATATAAATAAATTTATGCGAGTTTGTATGTGCAAGTGAAATAGAACTAAAAATACTAATTCTGCATAGTTATTGCATGTAAAATTGAAATAAGACAACTTACAGGGCTAAAACACTAAAGAGACCAACATATAGGACCAAAAGTACAATTTTCCCTTTTTAAAAAATCAGAGTTTATTTGCTCATCAGTTAATCGAATAAAATAAAAGAAAAGGACTAAAAATGGAAATTAGAAAATATCGGAGTGGGGGTGTGTTCCAAAAGCGTTGACGTTAATATAAATATACAGTGGCTAATTGCTATTATGCGATACTTATAAAAAAAAAAAACTGTGTGTTAATTTTGTACTTTGAATGACAAACGTACAAGTAGAGAGTTAAATGCCACACTCTCAGATTCAGATGTCATCCCTCCAACAACAATTCTAAGATTTCCCACCTCCGATCTTCTGGTAATTCTATTTCGCCCTACTACGCTTGTTGTTGTTGTTCCTCTTCTTTAATTCTTTCGAAATTTGTTTTTTGAATGCCAATGCCTAAATAAATGCTTCACGCTTGATTGGTTTTTTTTTTTTTTTTGCTATCGGATTCGTTGAAGAGGTGCTATTTTGACTTTTTATTTCTTCGCATTTCGTGGAATGATGGATAATGAAGTTATCCTTGATTGGGCTGTTGGAATTAAATCGGCGACGATTACAATTTGCAACACTTTAAATTTTAGAACACTTGATTTTTTTTTTGTTTGCTGATTTATTGAGAAGAATGACGGGATTGCTGCATTCTCTAGCGTTTGTGTTGCATATTTAATTTGATTAATGACTTTGTTGATCGACGATTGGAATTGAATTGCAGTGATAGAGTTTATTGTGGTAACACTACATTATCATGGTGTTAATTGTTTCCTTTTTTGCTGACCTGCTGTGTGTTGTATTTTTTTTGTTAGTTGACTGGTTTCTTATAGCAAAATCAAGGTGGAAGTCTTCTTCATATTGAGTTGAGTTCATGTAAATTTTTGGTTCTTGACTTCTTCTTAAGAATGGGAATTTTTCCCCCTCTTTAGCGACTTTCCTTGTTCTCCACTGGACGTTGTACTTGATCAAGAAATGCAGTAGATTAGACATTTGTTTATTGTTTATTTCATTTCTTTGGTTTTGAGTTTGGAGAGACCGAAGCGTTTATTTGCATTGTTTCTCGAATGATTCCTTCTCTTACAAGGGCCAACCGCAAATCTAAATTTTGAGAGGTGTGCGGAGCATGCTTGATTATCGCAAGGACTTCTTGTTTTAGAAGAATATCTTGTCGTCTTGTGTATCTTCGTCAGTTGAAATTCTGATGAATATTCTTTTAGAAATTACGCTCCCTTTTTTTTCGTCACATTTTCTGCTGATTGTTTCTAACAAGTTTCGCTATTGAATTGCAGATTATGTGCTACATATAGATTGTAGGTAAACCTGTTTATGAACCTTTCTGGGAGCAGAGCTTGCTTTGGCTATGACTCTTATGCATGTTACAAGTTACCGAACATGATACTGCGTTTTGAGTTTGACAAGATATGGAGGAGACAAAGGACGTTAGTAGGCTGGTGGAAGCACCAGATCATAATACCCAATGGTGGCCATCAGGTCTTATCGATAAACTGCGGTCAATTGCTCTCGTATCTTCAGATGAAAGCTCAAGCTCTAAAGGACCAAAAGGTCAACATGAATTTGGGACTAGTCTAGCATTTCAAATTGCGTCACAAACTTTGTGGGACACTGGAAAACTAGCTGAACCAATTCCTGATGGTTTCTATTTTGTCAACCCAGTAAGTGACATTAAAGCATCATTACTGCTGCCAAATGTATCGTTACTTCTGTATAATGCTTCGTTTTTTGTAGGAAAGAAGATTTAAGGAACTTTTTGATACTATACCCTCTTTAGACGAGCTTCATGCTTTGGATGTGGAGGGGCTCAGGCCCAACGTTATTCTTGTTGATACACGTAAAGATAAGAAGCTTTCCATGTTAAAGCAGCTTACTATCACTTTGGTGAAGGGATTGAATTCTAATCCTGCTGCCATGATCAAGAAGATAGCTGGACTGGTTCGTATATATTCCTATCTCGTTTTTATGTGTGTGCTTGTGTGTACATTTTCCTGAGTTCATCACTAATTGCCACATTTGCTTAGGTCTGTGATTTTTTCAAAAGACCGAAGTTGGAACCTGATCATGTTAAAGGTGCACTTGAAGAAGTCTCTCATGCACTAGATAATCAAGGTATTCATATGCTGGGCCACATAAAACACGGCTCTTGCCATTCGAGAGCTATCTTATTCAAAGTTCTTGCTGATACTGTTGGCCTCGAAAGTATGCTTATGGTGGTAAGGTGCCATTATTATTCAATTTCCACAGAAATGTCACATGTTTTGCCTTTTGCTTTTCTTATTTGCCTTTTCATCCTTCTGTTTTCAGGGGTTACCTAGAGAAGGAGTAATGGAGCGAACGGATACATATAAGCATATATCTGTCATAGTAGTTTTGAAATCTGTAGAACTTTTGGTCGATCTTGCACGTAATCCTGGAAAGTTATTACCATGTTCGGCTAAGGCAGTCTTTCTATGTCATCTCTCTGCCGGTGAAAGTGATTCTGCAGAAAATGACTCGTATGATTCACCCATTGAACCAAACAGTCCTCTATGTGGCCTTTCAGACAGAACAGAAGTCGAAGGGTAATAACCTATTTCCTGGAGCCATATCAGTATGTGTTTTTGAAATGACATTTCATTTATTTCTAACCTTTTCTTCTGGTTAACATTTATTTCTTTTTTGGAAGCCTCTGCTACTAGTATAGTATATTCGTTTTTTTGGCTGGAGTGTTGTGGTTCATTTATTTGCATACACATTTAAAATTTGCAAAAGGAAAAGATGTGTTGTCTATGTAACAGTGTTGTTTTTCCTGCCTTTAAATCCATAAATTTTCGGCAAGGTTACTAAAATACTGTTCATGTTCAGGTTATCTCACAGTGAACCAAATTTGGCAAATTCATTTTGGCGGCGCAGCCGGAAAAAAGTCATTGCTGAACAAAGGACAGCGAGTTCAAGGTTTTTGAAATGTTTTTATTTGTTCTGTTTATACCTCTAGGGTTATTACTATCTCAGTTTTTTTTTCCTTTTTTTAAAATTCTTTCATCTTTTCTCCAGTCCCGAGCATCCTTTTTTTCGTGGACATGGGAGATCTTTGCTTGGAGGTCACAGGCATTCGTTCCGAGAGTACGAAAATGATGTTAACGCATCAAGGTCTTCAGCTTCTTATTTTTTCTATCAATTTCCATTGTTTTGAATATGGCTTGGCAATAACATTATTTTGTAATATATATGTTGTAGTTCGAGATCTTTAATCATTAGAACCTTTATCTTTTCCATCAATAAACATCTCAAAATTCATATTTACAGGTCTGCTGGTGCATCTCCTATAGAAGCTCGTAGGAGAAGAAGGCGCTGTATTAGCATGATTCCGGAGATTGGCGATGATACCGTAAGGTGGTTAAAATTTTCTATTTGTTACCTAAACTTCATTCTTCATTTTCATGGTGATTTTCTTTTTTATTTTTATTTTTAAATTTTCACAAGTCTGATAACTTTGAAGCAGCCCATGTGATCTGTTTTCTCTTTGTGAATTCTGGTTGGAGGCCTCTTGGGCTAGAAATGCATCATACTTAAAGTGCCTGAATATCTATATTATATCCTGGAATGCACTGATCGAAAGTTGATGCTTTCAGATTTTCATGCTTTTTAATGACTTCAATTTGCCTTTTTTATGCCAATATATTTCATTTTTGTATCAGAAATCGCATTAGCATTGTTGCAGACATGTCTTGTACCTCCTGGTCTGCTAAACCTGTATTTTATTGCACAAAATAAGTTAACTTGGTTCTGAAATTAAATCTAGGGCCGTTCGAGAATTGAGTGAGACTCTCAAGAGAAATCATTATCAAGAGGAACGAGTAAATTCGACTCTAAGTTGTTCCACAAGTGAAAACAATAACAGTTCAGATCTTCGAGAAAGTGTATGCTCTTCTCTTTGCTTTTTTTTTTCTTTACGGCAATTAATTACAATCAATCCAATTTCTGGTGGACTGGTAACTTAATGCAATTTCTCTGCAAGCTGTAAGTTTTGCTTATATGTTTAGTTACTAAAATTGATCTTCACTTGGAAGATTTTCTTTTATGAACCATTTCCTTTTCCACTAACAATCCCAGTGTTTCAAAATTTTATTTTCACGCTGAAATGTTACAAATATGGTTTTCCAAAATCGCTTCACAACATTAATTGTCATGCTATCAACGTTTTTGCCTTAATAATAGCTCCATTGCTTTTAACAAGCCTGCATTTACTTTTTCTTTTTTTCGATAAAACCGAGAGTCAGTTTTGCCGATAACAGATTTGTTGCTTTTTGCATGAATATACGTGTCTGATACTCTTCCGGAATTTCTCTATCGTTAGGTGGGTTCCTTGTAATTATATACTATTCTTTTCCAGGTGTCAAGATTCAGCCAAGATGGTCATGATGGAATATATGGTCAAAAAGCCTTGACATATAATCATTTTCCTCTGAAACAAATTAATTCTCACAAAGCAATGTCGTTGCCTTCTTCTCCTCAACATTCCGGTAATCAAGCTTCTGTGAGGAGTGATGCAAAGGAGATATTTGTGAGTCCTGATATGATGTCGACATTTAATAAAGTGCTTGAATCATCGAAGATCTTAAACAAGCCTTTGTTACCCTTTCAAGAATGGAACATCGATTTCTCCGAACTAACCATCGGAACTCGTGTAGGAATTGGTATGTTGTTCTTGGGTTGATTGCTGGATTTTATTTTATTTTATTATTTTTTTTGTGGAATTCATTTTGGTTCTCATCGGCGATTCCTATTTAATTAATTTATTAGAAGTGGTTTGAACAGATTTTGGTTTCAAATAGGGAAATTCTGCCAAGTAGGATACTTTTACCAGTATAAACCCATAAAAAAGTAGTACCGATTGTTTTTTCCTTGCCGATTTTGCACTTCTGTATCAACCATAGTACCTCTGTATTTATAAAGTCAAGAATCTGTACTTCAATTCACATTCATTTGCTTAGTCATATAATTTTCTAATCACAAAATTTATTTTTGGTATGCAATCTGAATAAAGTTTATGCTCTCAAAATGAGAGATGCTATTTACCTCCCATCTTTGTCGAAGACGATCTTTTCTTCTTTCTTGTGCATTAGGATTTTTCGGTGAAGTTTTCCGTGGCTCCTGGAACGGGTTAGAGGTTGCGATCAAAGTTTTTCTAGAACAAGATTTGACTGTTGAGAATATCGAAGATTTTTGCAATGAAATATCTATCTTGAGGTAATATTAGTTGGTTTCTTCGGTGTATTCGTTTCGATTGTGAAGAAAATTCAGCTCAACACTCTTTCTTGGCTAGAGAAAATTGATTAACTAACCATTTATTTTCTCTTCTGCAGCCGCATTCGCCACCCAAATGGTAATCTTTCTATTTTTTTTATTTTTATTTTTATTTTGTTCCAGTTGTCAAATTATATGGTGGTGGCTGAAGCACTAACCGAATATTTCATACAGTTATACTGTTCCTTGGGGCTTGTACAAAGCCTCCTCGGCTCTCCCTAGTTACCGAATACATGGAGATGGGATCACTGTATTACTTAATCCATGCAAGTGGGCTGAAGAAGAAGCTTAGCTGGCAACGGAGACTCAAAATGCTTAGTGACATATGCAGGTGCATTCTAAATTTATAACTTTTGTGACATCAAATTAACGGAAATAAAGAAAAATGGTAGCATGGTTAAATGTTGACCCTTTCTTGGTGCTGAACTATAATATATATATATAGGGGGCTAACGACTATCCATCGCATGAAAATCGTGCACCGTGATCTGAAGAGTGCAAATTGCCTAGTCAACAAGCATTGGACTGTGAAGATATGCGACTTTGGGCTTTCGAGGGTACTCACAACCAGGCCCATCAAAGATTCTTCTTCCGCTGGAACACCTGAATGGATGGCTCCTGAACTTATTCGCAACGAGCCCTTCACGGAAAAATGTGACATTTTTAGCCTTGGGGTTATAATGTGGGAGCTCTGCACACTTAACAGACCATGGGAAGGCATTCCATCTGTACAAGTAAGCCTCAAATCTTGATAATAGAAAAATCCATTAGGCAATAAGATCTCTAAATTCGGTTTTTCTTTTTTTCTTTTTTATTTTATTTTATATAACAGGTGGTTTATGCTGTTGGCAATGATGGGCAGAGGCTAGAAATCCCTGATTGTCCTCTGAGCAAGCTAATAGCAGGTAATATATATATGTATGATTTAAAGAAGATTAAGTTGCTGTTATTATTCCATTTGAGAATGGTCATTGATTTTCGTTCTTTTTGCAAGATTGCTGGAAAGAAGCAGATGAAAGACCCAACTGTCAGGAGGTTCTTTCACGCCTTCAAGAATGCGAGTCCTCTTTGTGCTGATGATGATAATAATGCTTCTTTCTTGTTATCGAAAAAAACTCGTTACATGGTACCCCCTGTGAATCGTAATATTTGACGAATCAAGAATTAGAAAATGTTCGCAGGTTTTTGTGTAGTAATGCAATGAAAAACTCGTTTATCAATGATTCCGAAACGATCACATTTTCTACTTTCCATTGAATACTTTCAAACAATTGAAGATTGAAAAAGAACTTGCTAAAACCACTTATTCCAATGGAATGTAATGAGTGGACTTTTCCCACCAAAAAACTTTATTCGGATTCGAGCTTCTGGGATTGGTGTTGACCGTCATCGTATTTGATCGTACAATGATTAAGATCTCTAATAATAAAAATCCTCTACTCCGTTTTTTATACAAACAAAACCATAACACGAAGAAAAGCTTCGAACTCGTCCGAGTCAACTCGTTGAATCAGACCGCCCTCGGGTCTGTACCGTGTTGCCAGACATAAACGAGTTCATCCCATCCAGTGCTGGCCAAAAGACCTTCAACAAGCACACTCATATCAACGCCGACTGCAAACTCCGTGTGGTGATCGTACCTTGTGATGAGTGCATCTTCCACCATGTAATCCCACAAGCACACTGTCATATCGTACGAGCACGAAGCAATCACACTGCCTCTGTGGGGGGAGAACTTCACCTTCCTCACCGCATAGCCATGCCCGTTCAGCACAGCCACCGGCACTCTGTAATTCCTCACGTCCCATACTTTGATTGATTTATCGACCGATGCGGTGGCGATTATGCAGTCGTCGTATTTGTTCCAGTCGCACGACAGGATTTCGAATTCGTGTGCAGGTAGAATCATTGTAGAACCTGTTGTTTTTTATAAGCCTAATTAAAATTCATCCAACACCAACAGTTCAAAAATTGACCTAATCACAGTCGGTTAGAGTAGCAAACCTGGTTCGCGCACGTCCCAAATGCGGGCGGTGCAGTCGCCGGAAGCGGAGGCGAAGACATCGGCGTGCCTAGGGTTCCAGGCGGCGGAGTACACGCAGTAAGCGTGCTCCTTGAAAGTCCTCACGCTCGCCGGCCGGTCGACGGTCCACAATTTGACCGTGTCGTCCCACGACGCGCTCAGAAACGAGTCCTTTCGGACGGTGTTGAAGTCGACGCCGTGGCACTCGCGCGCGTGCTCGTGGAGCGATCGGATGGGGTTGGCGGCCGGCGGCAAGGACAGGTCGTAGATCTTGAGCGATCCGTCGGCGATTGCTGCGACGATGAGCGAGTCGTGGGATTCCGACCAGCACAGATCGTAGACGCCGTCGGCGGTGTCGAAAGAGGCGCGCTCCGTCACGGTGGGGCCCAGCTGGAGGACGTGGAGGCGGCCGTTGCCGAGTATGCCAAAGTTCTGGGCGGTGGCGACCGCCAACTGGTTCTCGTAGAACGGGCTGAATTTGACGGAGTAGCCGTTGAAGGGGGTCTTGTAGACTGGCATATCGCGACGGCGGCGGTGGTGGCGGGATTTTTGTGGTGGTGGGGATCGGATTATCTCGGGAGGTGTGAGCGGAGGAGGAGTCTGCAGTCAACTAATCGACACGACGAAAATGATTCTTCTGCGTTTCATTTCTCTCCAGTTTCCTCCAGTTCGAACTGAAAACAATAGTTAAAAAAGTGCAGCATTTTAATTGTTTAAAAGCGTTATTGCGAGAGTCGGGCCGGGCCTTGATCTGCAATTGGGCTTAATATCTGAGTATGAACTTGGGCTAGAGAACTATATTTCATCTTTAATGTAAACTATTATGAATTTGGGCTTCACCTAACGAGGCCCATATTACTAAACAAACATGGACATTCAATCTACACGAAATTGATATTTGAGTTTAGTTTGATAAGCAATTGAATCAAATTTCAATCGACCCGAACACAATTCGAGATCGAACTTCATAAATTATCGAATGAAAATATAAGATTCGAAGTTTTGACGAACTAGATCAAATAAATTGGTTATATTCAATCCTATACTTTGTTTAATTTGGAATTTGAAATTTGGTCGAATATTGTAAAAAGGAAAATGACAAACTACTTAAGGATATTTGGTGTAGCAATTCTGCAATTGGATCACGTGAAAGACTAGTCACACTATATAAATTAGATTGGGCACACTAATTAGGCGTGGTTCATGAGTCATGACAAAGAATTGTGTGGACCAGTCTAATTAATTGCATGTATGTATTGTATGTATCATAGGTTGGGGAGAGACTAATTAGGTAGCAAGGGGGTTAATTTCTCTTGAGGGATCAAACGCAAAACAACAAATTTCTATATAGTTATATAAGTATCATTGCTATATATAATATTGATGTATAATTGGTTCAAATTGAAGGTTTAAGTGATCAAGGAAGTTAGAAGCACGTGGAAGGAAGCTGAGCTGGCAGAAAAGTTGCTACAACAACTATGATCCATTATGCATCTAGAAAACGGTTACTGGAAGTGCTGGTGATTGAGTCGAGCCGAGGAGTACATAAACGCACACGTAGGCATTAGAGAGACACAATTCATCTGAAAACACTTGTAAAAGCAATTGAAAACACTGATCCGAACCACGAATAACGGCGATGGATCGGAGTGTTGTTCATCTTCGTTTTATTTTTCTATGATTGTCGATAAAAAAATGTTATTATATGAGAAAGAAATTATGTTAATTAACCTGGGTACTTACGTACGCAAGATCTCGTTGCTCGATTCTCATTAAACTGCACTGTTTAAACGTGCATACAGGTCATTAATTATCATGAGAAATCACAACGCACCACGTGCAATATTGAGACAAAAATTCATTAATTATCGTGCCAATGCATATATCGATCTGATAGTAAACCTGATTTCAATGTGCTGCTTCCAAATTAAATACCAAAAAAATTGTCTCAAGAAGGTTCCATTCCCGGTGAAATATTATATTTAATCTTCAAGAGGAATACGTTCAAAGTATTATTTGCTCGAAATGCATGCATTTTATTTCTTTTAGGTAATTAGTTTAGTTAATTAATTTCCTTTTCATTTATTATTCGTAGGAACAGATCCAATATATATATATATATAACCAGACTGAAATTTTGATCAGATAGATTTTTTCTGAAAAGAAAACAAGCTATGACTGAAATAATTTTTCAGAGCTGGAAGATGTGACGAGGAGGAATTATTGTCACTAAAATTAAATCTCTCTCTCTCTCTCTCTCTCTCTCTCTCTCTCTCATAATAATTGAAGCTATATATCAGACGACAGCCCATGATCTCTGAAATTGCCTAGTGATCTTATGTAAGTGGATATTAATTAGTGTGGAATAGCTAGCTACGTACACACACATATATATATACTCATAAAATATGTATGTTTTAACTAATTATTAGTAATCAACACATGTAGTTAGTTATTAATTAGGTTTAATGATTTAGGGTTTAGGCAAGATAGCGGCCCTAGATAGCTCTCTCTCTATAGTCTATAATATGCATGCATGGACCCTCTTCACCATATCCTTCACATGTTGCCCACTAATTTATTTAATTAACATATTTTTTTATATCTACACATTCATCTCAACCATTCAATTATATATATTAATATGGGGTCCCCCATATTTTTTTATATAGCCAACCAACACACACACATATATATATATATAAATCCACTAATTAATATAATTGATTAAAAGAAGTCTATCATGCCTCACTTTCCAATATTGAAAGCCACAATCCACATGATCTTGCTTGGGGATTTTGAAAGAAAAAGATAACCAAATCCTCTCAAAACATCCCCAAATTAAATGAGACTATATATTAATTAAGAAAATAAATTAGAAGAAAAAACAAGTGTCGTGCCCTAGTTCAGACACGTGTACTCATTGATAGTACCAATCATGGGTAGACACGTGTCTCCCATAAGCCTCTAATAACCTCTCACAGTCACAGACCCAACCCAAATTATTGAACTGGTATCATAAGTGAAGGGTGAGGAAGGAGATATGGGAATAATGTCATAAATTAATAATATATGGACCCCCTAAAGCCAAATTAAAGTGCAACAACATGAGCTGCAATTATTAAATCATGGCAACTATATATATTATTATTAATTTAATTAATTTCAAGAGACTGATGAACTAAAATAAAATAAATAAATCCCAAAAAGTAAAGGTCAAGGGAAAACTAAAAAAATAAAAACAAAATATAATAAATAATAAAATGAGGTGATTGATACCCACTGGCAGTCTCCAAATTAAATAATTCAAAAGAAAATAGAAATAAACTTTTATTTTTATATTTTATATATATATATATATATATATATATATATATATATATATATATATATATCCTCATTTGACATTTCCTTCAATTTTCACTTTATATATTTCTCTCTCTAGAAAGAAGAAAGAAAAAAAATTGAGTGGAATTAATTCCAAGGCATGAAAAACAGTATCAGATGCTGCATTTCTTGCATTCTTCCGTGCGGGTCACTCGACGTGATCCGAATAGTGCATGCCAACGGCCGGGTTGAGGAAATCAGCGGCGCCGTCACGGCGGAACAAATCATGAAACTTCACCCCAGGCACGTCTTGAAGAAGCCATCCTCGCCGGCCGGCGAAGGTATGTGCCCCAGGATCGTCGTCGTTCCTCCCGACGCGGAGCTCCAGCGCGGCAAGATCTACTTCCTCATGCCCCTGCCGCCTCCGCCGCCGCCGGAGAAAACCCGATCCAGATTGTCAGCCAAGAGGAAAAAGAAGGAAACGGATAGGAACAGTTACAGAAGTACTGCAGCGGCGGCGAAGACCGGCGGAAATGACGACGACTCCGCCGCCGCCGCCGTGACGAACCTCCTTTCCGATCGTTATTTGAGTGAGCTGTTATCGGAGAAGGTTTCGTCTCAGAGGGATCGGCGGCGAGGCCGCGTCGGAGTGTGGAGACCCCACTTAGAGAGCATTTGCGAAACGCCGTCCGAACCGTTAATTCACGGCGAGTAAAATTCGTTTTCTTGATCCTTGGTAATATTATTCACTAGGGTTTTAAAATATTTATTTTTATGTTTTTCCTTAATTCTTCGGCCCTGTTCGTATCCTTTCATTTGTACATAAGCATTTAAGCAAATTACGAGGGTGGGGAAAAAACGTAACTAATTTCTTGCATGCAAATTGAATTTTGTCGCTGTTTGCGGAGATTTTGGTATGTTGTACTATTATCATGGGGTTAAATTGCTACTATTCACTTATAAAGCCCCCAATAAGCATTGTTGCTATAAAATTTTATATTACCTGTGTGAAACCGCACCCCATATTTCATGGTTCATGAACAAGAAAAAAGGAAATTCTGGAATATAATCCGCTTCACGTTTCCGCGGTCTAACTCTCGGGGTAGGGTACGCTTACAAATTTTCACCCGATAATTTTAAACCGTAGATTTATCGGTTGTAGATTTTACAAAATCGGCCTGAACAACAGTCGCAATATTAATGCTGATGCCGCAATTTTACCAAAAAAATTAATATTGCAAATAATAAAATTTTCATGTATTTAATATTTATTATATAAATATACTAGAAGATTAGGAAAGTTAAAAGAGAATTAATTAAGGTGGGCCAATAGAGCGTGGGATGTTTTAAAATTGAGTTTTTATTTCATGTGCGTTAATTGTCATGTCAAGTTTCAACCAACATGCTAGACACTGACGTCCAAGTTTATCCTCTTTCTTTTGATTTTCATAACTAATTATTAAATAAATAATTTAATTAATTAATTAATTGATTTGAAAAGAAAAAGAAAAAAAAAAAAAGAGAGTCTTCACGACTTCACCACATCATTATATTCTTTTTAATAGCCCACATTGAATATTGGCCCAATAAGATATGCCGGAGAGCAACGATATATGTTGGGCCCTTTCCTTTAAACTTTAGTGAATAAGAACTAATATACTTTGATTTTTATATTTTTTTCTGTGAAAAGTTAATTCTAATTTTGTTTCAAAGTTTTTTCTTGAAAAATAAAATCATAAATAAAAACAAGATTGCTAGTTCATAATCGTAAATTTTCGGATCGAGAGATTCCAAAATTTCTTTCTTCTCCATCTATAATAATATACTAAATACATAAAAGAAATTATAAATATAATATATACAAAGAAATTATTTAGATGTAGATTATTCCAACAGAAATGAAATTGAAGTTTCAAAAATTAGAACAACAAATTTAAATCTGAAAAATTTAGATCAAACTGGGCACAATCAAAAAATTCCCTATTTGTCTGAGCGTTGACTTTTTGACTTCTTAACAGTAGTACTAAATTGTATAAAACCTAACAGTAGTACGATAGGTCCTTGGACCACTGACCTTTCTTGAGTTTCTCTTACCAATTAGTAGTAGAACATTGATATCAGACAAGGGCAAAATCGTCTTTCCAGAAGCACACGGCAATTGCATGACCGGACAAATCCCCCCAAACCCACGCTCCTCATCATCGGCCCATCCGTCTCCCCTTTCACCCACTTTCCGTCAAAGCCCAAAAAACCTTTAGCGACAAAAAAAATAAAAATTAATTAAAAGAAATTAGAAACAAAAAAACTCCAAAATTCATCGAACCCCAAAAGCCAGCCAATCAATCACCGCAAACAATCAGTGACCAAACCACAGACGTTACGTTTCGCAGTTACCAATGACAATATGCTGCCGAAATCGCGTGACCGTCGACCCCACGCGCGCCCCCCCGGCGATTACCCTCTCTCTCACCAGTCAGCCCTATCCCCTCCCCCCTTTTCCCCCAATACATACATATCCTTTCACCACGACCACTCCCCCCCACCCCAATCCGCCGCCTCTTTTTTTTCATCGCCGTCTCTTCTCTCTCTCTCTCTTCGCAATACTATTATTTTTTACCGTTCAATTGTTAGGGTTATTGTAGATCTATGGGTGATTTAACGGAATCGTCTACTCCTCAGGCGCCGGCGTCACGGCAGGTTCCCTTCCGTGAGGACTGCTGGACGCAGGAGGCCACATCCACGCTCGTTGACGCCTGGGGACGCCGTTACTTGGATCTCAACCGCGGCAATCTCCGTCAGAAGGACTGGCAGGAGGTGGCCGACGTCGTTAACGCGCACCACGGCCACACGAAGAAGACCCGCCGCACCGACGTTCAGTGCAAAAATCGGATCGACACGCTTAAGAAGAAGTACAAGGTCGAGAAGGCGAAGATCACCGATTCCGGCGGAGCAGCATCCTCGCCGTGGCCGTTCTTCCCTCGTTTGGAGTATCTAATCGGATCTAATCTCAACAAAACTCAGGGTAAAGTATCGCCGTCGCCTATGCCGCTGGCGTCCTACACGCCGCCGTTGTGTCTTCCTGCGCCGCCGCTGGCTGTGCCGCTGCCCTACCGTAACACTCGCACCCCGGCGGTGTTTTCGCCGCCGATTCTGCCGCAGAAGCGCCCGATGCCTTCCCCAGCCGTGGAGGAGTCCTATTTCAGGAAGAATTATTCAGCGATGGCTGCTGCAGCAGCAGCCGCCGCAGCTGAGGATGAAGCGGAGGAAGACGACGGAGAGTTGGATGGGGATGAAGCAGAAGGGAGCGAGGATAGAGCCGCCGAGGAGGAAGAGGTCGGAGAAACAGGAATGAGGAGACTAGCCAAAGCTATAGAGTCGTTCGGGGAGATATTCGAGAAAGTGGAAAGTATGAAACAGAGGCAGATGATCGAGCTGGAAAAACAGAGGATGCAGTTTGCTAAAGATTTGGAGGTTCAGAGGATGCAATTGTTTATGGATACTCAGATTCAGCTACAGAAGATCAAGCAGGCTAAACGTTCCGGATCTTCCGATGGTATAATTCGCTTACCTATTGATTTTAATTGATGATTTTTCTGTCAATTCTGCCCATTGGTTTCGTAGTTGTTTTTTCCTCGATTTGTTATACAGTAAAATGCATAATCTATGTAGGGCTTGTTTATATTTTCCTGATTTATGTACTTTCCATAGATTAGGGATTGAGGGGAAAAAACCATATTGCAAACTCTTATTTGGAGGTTAAACTTATCAACATGTCTTTAGTCGTTATTGTCAGTTGAATCGACTAAAATTGGATGTTGTTGGAGATTTTGATCTTGTGTGTGCGCTGAATTGTTCTCTGGGTGGGTTTTTTTAATCGAGTTGCTATAACACGCAAATTGTTCGAGATTTTGATCCATCTATGTTTTGTTGTTGTGATTGTTATTTTATCGTGAAAGAATTTGATGAATACTAAGCAAGAATTGTAGCTAACGATTGATGTCAACGCTTGCAGATATTTATAGCTAACTGTGCGGAAGGAATGTCGATTGTTCCTTCATATGTAGGAGTTGAGTCACCAGAAGTTTTGGTCATGTTAATATCTGAAGATCATTTTACTTTACAAGAACTACTTCGATGGCTGATCTGGTAGCAGAGGGAAACGCTTTCATCTATGTGATGCCGAACGCATTCGTTTTTCTGTTGATAAAAACTATGGTTGTGTTTGAATATTGTTTTTCGTATAACATTATTGCACATTTAGCTTGAGACATATTCAGATGCTGTTGGCAATGTGAAGTTCTATATTTATCTTGTCTTGTTGACTAACCTACCGTTGGATGAGAGGGGTCGTTCTAGCTTTATGTTTGGTGTTTGGATGCCTTTTTGGAGGATGTTGTAATCGATCTTTTAGTTCGTATGTGTAATAATCCCCCAGTTGTTTAGTTCTTCTGACTAAATTGTCGCTAGTTTCTTCATACCTACACCTGGTTAAAATTACTTGAACTGAGCTATTCTGGTTTTTATTAGTCTATATTTGGTTTCGAGGCACGTAAATGCGCTCGTAAACAAGGAAAGGCCGAATACCATCGGACCTGCTTTAAGCACGACCCTACCCTTTTTCAATTCTCCCGACACTTGGTTTGTTCGACGTGATATTCGGTGAACTTCATTAGTTAATATCCATCATATGAAAATACTCACATTACAAACACGCACACACAAACACATGTGTGTGTGTGTGTGTATTATATATAACAAGTATAAGCATGTGCATGGTCAATGGACTTGTGAATCTTTTAAGCTTTGTTGAATATTATTTTTTTAAGGTTGTTAGATTTACTTCTTCGACTTGGAGCAACTTCATTTGTAGTGATCTATAAATATTAGAGAAGTTAGGTACACGAAAACATGAAATACCATAATACATATATGATATAACTAAAAACTACATCTTTAAGGTACAAAGAAGCTCCTCTAGCAGTTTTGCATCAAGCTCAACTAATATGGTATATTGTCTGTTATTGAAAACCTAGTCTTTAATTTGCTACTATATATATAGTATATATGTATATATATATATTCCTACACTGAGGGAAAACTCAAGCCCCTGATGATTGAATTTGTTGTAGTATTAATCCTTCTTGATCCAGCCAGTACAGCTTGCTAAGTGCTTTAATCCTGCAGATTTAAAATAAAAATAAAAAATCAAATAAAAGCAAGGAATTGCTTTATGTAATTAATTTCTAGCTGTATATTTTTATACAATTTTTTAGTGTTGTTTTGCAAACTTTAGCGATTATCGAACAAGTAACAACGTAAACCCGTGATTCTTTAGCTTCAGACTAAATTCTACGACAATCCAGTGTTATTTATTAAGCCCCGATTCAGAAACGTGTTGATCGTTCCAGTGAGTCACATGCTACGATGAACTTCACTAAATAATATCCAACCCTAACCGTGCGTGTAAACGTTTTACACATACCACTACCGCATGCTACGGTGAACTTCACCAAATATTAATATGTATTGAACCAAATATCACAAGCATGCATCTAGAATACCTATGTAATACCTTAGCTCTAAAAACTACCTAACCAGCTACCGTAACCACATTAACCCTGAATGTTCGATATATCTTCATCATATATAATCCTCGACCGCTGATGTGTGTTTAGTAAAATCCAATATCGGTACATTCAACACGAATACCTATAGGAAGAATTAAAATTGGTCCGATTTAGTTACTAATTATCGAATTAGATTCTGGACAAATGAAACTATATATTTAGAAAACAAAACATATATAATATAATTAAGAAGTAAACAAATTAATAAAATCATATTTATTGCCAAACTACTGTAGAACCTCGATTAATTAATAAACTCAATTAAATAATAGTTTCTTTCAGACCCGACTCAGTGAAACCGTGTTAAATTATTAACTCGAAAATTTAATAATTCGCTAAGTTAATAGAATTTCCCTTGTCCCGATTGTATTAATTTATAGAGGTTTAACTGTATTTAGAAAACAAAATATAAAATGTGCACGCCAATTATTTCCTATATGTATATATATTAACATGTTATTATCCTATATATATATATATATATATATATATATATATATATATATATATATATATATATATATATATATATATATATATATATATATATATATATATATATATATATATATATATATATATATATATAAATATATAAATATATATATATATTTATATATATATTTATATTTATATATATATATATATATATATATATATATATATATATATATATATATATATATATATATATATATATATATATATATATATATATATATATATATATATATATATATATATATATATATATATATATATATATATATATATATATATATATATATATATATATATATATATATATATATATATATATATATATATATATATATATATATATATATATATATATATATATATATATATATATATATATATATATATATGCATATGTATTTCACCTGTCAAACTAATTAAACATTCAGGCCTGTATCCTGAGTTGAATTAATATATCTTCAAATTTTGATGCATGATGTTCCGGACAAGGCGAAGAACATGCATGTAAGAGTAAGACGATTGAATATAATTAACATATAATCCACCAAAAAAGTATGAAAATGAATATTTATAGTACACAATGCATTTTTTTTAATAGATATAGTTTTAGATTCATGTTTATCACCTGAGTTTGCTATAAAACACAGACAATATGTATGGGATCTCATAAGAACCAAGAACTAGCTAGCTAGTAGTTGATTTGGAATTCAAACTAGGGATTAAATTATTTAAATCTGTACAGTATTTTGCATGATTTGAGAGAGAGTGAGAGAAAATACAAAAGATTTTTTTTTTATTTCTTGTTTTATTTATTTATTGAAAGACTAAAACCTATCCCCAAAAGTAAAGTTCTCTACTCTATGCTCAACACTCAACACTCAACCTGGTTCACCAAAAGTGCCTATATCAAAATTAGGGTTTTCTTGTTTCTGAATCTAGCTAGGGTTTCTTGATATATATATAGATATATATGTATACGTATCCTTGAATATACTATTAACTATTGTGCTTGTGCTACGTGGTCATGTGGTCCTGTCATAAGATACATGTCAATTAACACTATCTGTTTTTTCTGCAACTTCATTTATTCAGACAAGTTTCATTTCTATAAACGTGCCCAAAAAAACCCTTTCTGCAGTATATATATATATAAGCAAGAAATCATCAGCAAATATAAATAGTTACCATTTATAATTTCCCTTTTTTCTGATCTTCATCTGTAGTCAAACTGCAGGTTGCTTAGAATTATTCTTGATGAGTTCATCTTGTTGATGGGTTTTGATCGGGTGGTTGATTTTCCTCTTCTTCTTCTTCTTGTACGGAATCCCTCTCGCCTTAGCCTGACAGTCCTTCACTTCACGGAGATAAACCCGAATCGACCCGTTTCCGAACGGGTTCGTCTCGGGCGATCCGCCGTGCTCCTCGTACGCGGCCCTGAGCCGCCCGATCAGAGCGTCGAGGCTGCCCCAAGCCTGCCTCAGCGGGCAGGTGCACGGCGCCGGCGGCGCCGGCTGGCCGAAGAACACGCACCCATGCACGTGAACCTTAGTCTTCCCGAACTGGTCTAGGTATCGGAGAAATTCGAGGACGTGGTTGCAGTTGCACTGCGGCAGCGAAACCGGCGGCCTCTGGTTTTTCAGGTACTGCCCGAAAGTGTTCCAGTCCCTTCTCTTCTGCGACTCGTAGCGGCTCAGCGGCGGCGCCGGCGGATGGTTGCTGCCGGAGCCTTGATCGGCCGCGGATTCCTTTGACATCAGGCCGATTGTTGCAGAAGTAGAAGAATTCATGGTTTTTTTTCTAGAGAGAGAAAGTGAGAGAGAGAAAATGTTTGAAAATAAAATTAGAGTGTAATTGAGGGGACATGATATATATGGGGCCTTATGGGAGGTGCTTTTGTTCCTACTTTATTTATTATTTATGTTTTTTTTCACTCTCTCTCTCTCTCTAAAATCTCTCTCATGCATTAATTTTTTTCAAACGTCTCTTTTTAAATGCACTAACATTACTTTAAATAAAAAAAAATTAATCTTGATTATGATCTTAATTATTATCTTATATATAAACATGCATCATCATAGATCATCATCAGTTTAATAATGATGATTTTGATTATAGCATTTATCCATCTACAAATTTATGATTCCCCGTGACTCCAAATATATATAGTCGGTGCAACTTGTGTGTATATATGTATATATGTATGTATATATATATATTTTTTTTTAAATCATGAAATCTGTTTGTGGGAAATTAATTAATCCAGAAGAAGTAATAGTATCTGGGTCAACCTATCAGGTACATTCTTTCAACACTATTATTTTACCCTTTAAAATAATATTCAATATAGTACTAATAATTAATTGGCTGCATTACTATTATATATATTGAAGCCGCCATCAATATAATTGATGAATCTATTCATTGATATTATATTAATTTAATTACAAATTAATACAACTGCCTGATTCTAATAATTAATTAATAATTAAATTTATTATTATTAATTGACGTCTCAGTTGCAAGAGAAGCTAGAGTGGTGGTACCTCTCAAGCTCAGCTTCTTGTTTTGACAATTCTAAGCTATAAAAAAAAATGTATTTATATATATCATCGCAATCATGACTTGTACACTTGAATTCATGTACATGCATGCATGATCAAACGTACATTCATTATTATAATATTTATTTATATATGTATATATATACTTTCAGAAAAATAATCTAAATTATTTGCATGATTTTTCATATATATTTTGTTAATTAATATTTAGTGTGGGTGAGGTAAATTTGGTCGACAAAACATTAAGGATGAATCAGATTATATTCAAGGCTGAAAAACAAGTGCAGCGAAAAGATGATCAATATAATCAAGAATCAATGACCTTCCAATTGGAGCCAATATTCTCAATATATATATATATAGCGTGAATTACAAACACCCCTGATGTATGGTCAAATTACGAAAATTCCCCTTTTGTTTGGGTAATTACAGCTACCACCTTAACTATAAATCTTCTTACACGTTCATTGTTGTGGTTTCAAATTTAGTGGAATCTTCGAGATTATATGGAATATTATCACTTTTGTACCAGCTTTATCCAATTCGAACTCCACATTTTGAAGCAAGATGATCATAAGATGTGTTTTTTGACTTGTATATATTTTTTTTTCTTTTCTTTTTCTTT